CGGGCGCCAATTTGGGCGTGCGCCTCAATATCTGACTAAGAACTCTATCTCGCCCACCGCAGTGTCATCTGAACCCTGATGCCGCCTGACGAGTCGGAGTCGCCTGCATTCTTGAATTTCAATGCGTCCCGCTCGCTAATGCTAGCAGACGAAGTCTTGGGAGCTCACGTTCAGCTCTCGAGACGAACTTTTGTGCGCCTCATGGCTGTTCATGTTCCAAATGATGTTCGGCGTGCACGAGTCTGTCGCGGCTGAGTATCCAAGAACGCTACCTTGTTGGGTGACTAGGACCCAGATGTGACAATCTCGGCTCCTCTTTCCAGATGCTACTACAAGTCGCTTACGCCATTAATGAACTGCTTCGACACGGGATTGGACGCTTCTACAGTTTCTCTCCTAATGCGAACCAAACAACGTTCACGAATAGAAGCTCATCGTTTTCCTTCGAAGCGTGTAGTCTTCCCTGGCATGTCGGCTTCTAGGCGTCGTTATTCGCAGCGCTTCCTCCCTTGACTGCATCACGTCTTACCAGATCTGGTGGACTACAACACAGCATGCCCTAGTAGCGCTCTCTACACAATCTGCTTTTTTTCCATTCAAATCATTGGGTCCTTAGTCTACACAAATCGACCGATGCAGTGGCACGCGTACCGTGATCTACCACTCACCGCTGGGACGACCCCAGCAAGACTAGATTTCTTCACAACCGACGTCTACATCCTCGCAGAGTCCGTCCCTCAACGTCCTTCACGATGCATCTCCAAAGCCATTCACCGCCCTACACCGCCCTTTCCGCCATGCCTTCCGCGATACGATCTACGAGGCGCGAGCGCCCGGGAGCTAAAGTCGCTCGCTAGCCTACAAATCCCCAGCAGGGATTCCCCAAACCGTCAGACCTGCATTTGTACCAAGGAAGAAACACCATACCTGTGGGTCTGCAACAACTCGGACGCTTTTGTTCCAGGTTTCTTGAAACAAACATCGGACCAGCATCGGTCCACCTCGGACTTTTTATGACGCGCGCCTACAGTTACGGGCTCGCGTTTCGGCGAGGCGACGAAAAGTTCGAACGAGATGATCATTGGACCGCCTGCCTCGTTTCGATTCCGTCTCCGTTCGTACATACGAGGCGCTCACCGCTGGTGTTCCTGCACCAAAGCCCGACACACCGTGCCGATAGCGACTTCCATAGTGTTGAATGCCGGCATTTGTACCAGCGCTGACAGATTTCCAGTCGCCTTGACTGGATGCCGACGCCGGTGCCAGGGATCCTGTCTGTGGGGTGCATGGTTGAGATGAGCCCCGCCGTCTCTTCGAATTCTGCAACACCACGGACTCTGATCCGACTAATCGCCCCTCTCGATCCGAAATCTAGTTGAGATGCGCGCGCGTACTGACTGCCCCTATCCTCGCACCCAATGCATGTCCTTGGTACAACGAGGCTCTCACCGACTACGTCACTTCCTTTACCGTCTATGTTTGGGTATACTCTTCTCCGCGGGTCAATGCGATAGTAAGCGCTTCTGAGAAAGACTTCATCAAAATTACCCCGCTCCTCCCACACGGAAAAAAATTAATGGTGTACGCGTGTTCCGCGTGACACCATCGACATGGTGCGGGAATGCCGGGCCTGCAAGTAGTCAATCAGCTGCAATGGCAGAGCAAACGTGAGGGCTGCAACAACCAGAGGAGACAAGGAAAAAGAAAAGGAGAATAAGCTTCGTCCTAAACGCTTCGTCGTAACATGTCGGAATCAGCAATTGCGTATACCCATGCCCATTACCCCAGCTACGTCACCTGGCACACGCGTTGCACTCACGATCGTCGCGTTAAACTCTTGTCTCTTTATTCTTTGCTCTTGTACCCAATCACAAAAGTGCACGCAGACCCCCCTCGTTCAAGAAACGCCGTTCCAAACGCCGCGATCAATGGGTATAGTACATGCCAGATGCTAAGATCCGATGCCAATCTCATATCCAAGCATCACCTCTGTTGATGCTCCCTCCCATCCCCGATTTCCGCCCGTTGAGATCATGAAGTTGCACGTTGGGTCGAGGTATAGCTGCGATATGACGCCGGTGCGGTGTCCGGGGACAATGAAAAAGGGTGTAGCGGCCGCGCCGGCTTTCGGTCCCGCGTCGTTGTGGGCGAGGTCGTAGAGACGAAGGATGTCGTATGATGCGCTGGTACATGTTAGTGCTTGTCTCACGTCACGTCACGGCACGTATCTATGTGTGCGCGTGTGAGGGGGAGGTGAGCTTACCAAATTAGATGTCGCCCATTGGGCATAGCCCGAACTGCGCTCACTGCACCACTGACGCTGGGGAACCGGAATGTGCGTCGCGGCTCTCGTAGACTCTTGTGCAGACTGTACTCGTCCACTGTTCCGTTTCGCCGGCCAGCGTAGATGAAGTTGCCGTCTGGTGACCAGCATGCGTTCATGCACCACGGTGGTGTGTTTCGCGGGGGTGTGATGCGTGCGACGGGGTTTGGTTGCCGGCGGTCCCAGATACGCAATGTGCCGTCCATTGACGCGTCCATAAAGGTCGTTTCAGATGAAGCAGGCTGCTCGGTCTGGTTTGCGGAAGCAATCGTGGACTGTTCTAGATCCTCTCCATGGGGCAGGCCGTTGGAAGTGCCATTGAGCTGCGCATCTGTAGTTCCATTCGCTGCTGGTTGGTTCTCAGCATCTACTGGGGCTTCCTTCGCTTGATCCGCAGCTTGCTCCTCGGGTGCTTGTACAGGACCGCCCATGTCCATCATGTCCATGTCAGCATTGGCGTCGTCGTCCGCTTGTTGTATGCCGTTCGCGATGGCTCTGGAGAACTCGTCCTCGTCGTCGTCACCACCGAAGGAAGGAAGAGTGGCCGAGAGGTTGTTTTCCTGGCCGTCACCGAACAAAGAGTCCTGGTCCTTGTCTCCAAACAGCGAGTCGTCAGGAGATCCCTGAGCATCCTCAGTACCTTCTTCTTTGGGTATCACGGGCTTTATATCGGCGCCGTTCGCGAGGGCGCCGTTGGTTCGAGGTCGGGCGGAGTTGTTGGAGGAGAAGGTGCCGTTCGAGGTAGGAAGGGTTTCGGTATCCTGAGGTATGGGTAGGGTAGACATCGGACGTTGCTCGATTGCGGATATCTGTCCTCCGCTCGTCTCGAATTTCCTCTTAACGCTTCCAGTGTTCAAGTCCCAGTCATTGATAGTCTTGTCCCAACTACCACTCAATACCGACGTCTCGTCCTGCGACAGTGTCAAGACCGACACGGCTGAGGTGTGGTTTTTGAGTGTGTGTATCCGCGTTCCTTCTTGATGGCGCACCGACTGCAGGTTTATGCCTCCCGAGTCCAGACCCGACAACAGCCATAGCGCTTGGTGGTGTACTGCGAGCGAGTACACAGGGGACAAGCTCTCGGCTGCGGCACTGTCCTCATTCTCCCAGTATGAGAGAAGCACGCCCGCCTTGGTGACCGAGTCAACGAAAGGGTGTCGCTGGGCCACGGTCAGGGCAAGCTTGCCGTTGGCTGTGTCCACCCAATTGAACTTTCGTATATAGCCGTCTGCGCCTCCACTGAAGACCCATCGCATGTCCGGTGTGGCGGTGATGGCATTGATTGAGGTGCTATGCGGTGCGGCGATGGTGGGTATGATGTCGTAGATAGGCGCATTCAAGGCCTCCTGTCGCACGCTCGGGTGGAAGGGCAGGTTTCCGAGCACGCCCGAAGCCGCCGCACGAGGGCTGGGTGATGTGAGGGTAACAGAGGGGTTGCCATCTGCTTGTCCAGCTGTACCGCCATTGGATATGCTGTTGCGCGGTCGCTGCGAAGGGCTGTCGGGCTCGTCCTGGTCCTGATCTTGGTCCTGGTCTTCATCGTCGTTGTCGTTGTCTCCGTCTGCATCGTCGTCGTCATTATCGCCGTCGTCAGCATCGTCGCCCTCTTCCTCCTCGTCTACATCCATGGCATCGTTCTCCTCCTGCTCATCTTCCTCCTCGGCGGAGCCTGTTGCGCGCGGTCAGCTGGCAGCTCCTCCGAGCGTCGTAGGGATATTTACTGGCGCCATTCTCGTAGTCGTCCTCCTCATTCATACTGTCTCCATGAGCATGGGCTAATTAGCACGTGCTCAGCGGATGCACTGCTACGTCGCGTCGAGTGGATGCGCCGATGTTCGCGTTGGGGAACATGGATGAGGCTCGGCCTCGCGTCATTCTCCCGAACGGCGCCATTCCTGCTCGGGACTAGTCAGTCCAGAAGCCAACTGGTCCAAATGAACTCCAAATCCCCGGCCAGCACCTGTGCAACGTACAACACCGACCCATTTCTATTGGCTGATACTGTACACGTTTGTCCCCTTCTTTGGATGCTGACGGTTCGGCATAGCCGGGGGTGAGATGTTGTAGTCGCCACACGCAGCAGCAGTGCCTACAATAAACGTTATCACACCAACACGTCCGTCCTCGTTCAAGGCGACCTTTTCCGAGATTTTACAACCCAGGACCCTCGCAAAGTCTTCGCGAGATACACAGAACGTACGAAAACAGACCTGTAAACTTCAACAGTTGTCTACCTCCTTTTTCCTGTGTTGTCTTATCCAGCCTGATTGAGAGACCTCATCATCCTTACTATGGCCTCCGGTCCTGTCTCCTGGAATGATCATGTCGGGAACCAGTTTCGCTCTTGGCGTAAGATTCCGCAGCCACCAGGCTGGCATCGGTGTTCAGCATTGTTACCCCTACCTAAGTCTTTGCCTCCTTAATGATTTGGCCCCCGCACCTGTCGCGCTGGCTCACTCTGCGATATCTTGATAGGTTTCCCAAATAATGTCTTGTCATCTGATGGCCACCGGTTTTCCCCTCAACCTTCTTAAGCATGGAAGACCCCCGCGCCCCGCTGTTGTTCTGATATCCCGTTCTTCTGGCCTCTCTTGTATGCGAACCCTCTTTCTTCCAGCCTTTCGTTCTTCGATCGCTTCGATTTACTACTCATCATTCTGACATCCTGTGGAGTGTGATGGAGGACACTGCGCTCTTGATCGATCAGCGATCGTTGGTCTTCACCAAAGAGAGTGATGTTCACGAGCGCGATCTGGGACCTACGAATCCCACCGAAGGAGCCAAAATCGCTTTGAAGCGTGACTTTCCATGGCTTGAGTTCATGTATCACACTGCAGTACTCGCCATAGTTGGTATCCTTCTGTGGATACACATCATCGGACTCTTTTGGAGGGATTTCAAGATCAAAAACCAGAAACGGCAGAACATGGAACTCATGGCATTTCAGGTCGCGTCCAAGGCTCACGAGTTGCTGATGCTCGCATCACTATCCATGATTGTCTTTCACTACATGCGAAGACTGCTGGTCGGGCGAAACGGTATTCCCTTCGGACTCGTCAATGCACTTCATGTCACAGGCTCGCCCAGCATGCTGTTCAAGTGGTCATTCTGGGCGGGGTGGAGGCGTCACCTCCCATTCGGAGGCTTGTTGTTTCTCACCTGTATCTTTTCGCTGACTTTAGGACCGTCATCCGCGATCACGATGATTCCTTCGCTTGAGTGGTACGATATGAAGAACGCTTTTCCAGCCAACGGCTCAACCGTCCTCTACAACGCAACTGCAGCCAAAATCTGGCCAACTGTCTTCAATAACTCAATGGACACAAATCAAACTGCTCGTTGCCTCCAAGATCCATTCACGTCACCATTAAACCTACACTGCCCGTCGGCAGGGTTCATCGATATCTATAAATGGGTATTTATCTCCAGTTTTTGGGACATAACATGTTTTCAATGCTGAAACTATTCAGTTTATCAGTTTCACGAAGACTGGATCACGCGATGACTTGCTCTTCACAGATCTACGTGCGAGCAGCGTTCAACGGAAGGTCTCCATCAAGACTGGCAATGACCCAGAGGGCGGCTGGGCCTACACCACCGTCGTCACAGAGCTGAGCTCGAGAACACTCGGTACATTTTATAACTATGCAAGACACAACAATGCCGGCGGTACTAGAGACATGGCATATCCCCGATTGCGCATCAAAGCGGACACTCCAATACACCAGCCCATCGTCTATGTGAAGTGTAGCCTCTCTATGTGGACCCAAGTCCCGGATCGACTACGCGTCCCATTTCCGAACATCGATAGGTCACAGGCATGGGGGCAGGAGGCATTGCATCCCGAAGCTGAGACACAATACGCCAAGTCTAACGATACCATCTTTGATCGGCTACCGAGTAAAAACGCGAGGTTCAAATGGTACAAAAACAACAACGGGGATTTGTCATCATCGCTACTTGCGTTGGCAATCATCCCTGTCTCGGCCAAAAACTCAACAAAAGACAGATACCCATCCACTGCCACTGTGGCATGCTCAACTGATGCAAGGTGGGTCTCTAGCGATGCATATTACCAGCCCAAGAACTCGACCACTGTCTCGAGCAACGTTTCTGATGCACTCTCCGAGACCGAATGGAAACCCGAAAAAGCACTCCTCACCAAGTTGGGCATATCAGAAAACCCACTCGACCTGAGGCTCGACTGGGCGCATTTTCTGAACCGAAAACAAAGCGAGTGGCTAGCCGACAACTCTTCCTCCAGTGTCAGTGGCATGGCCCGGTTCCTCAATACTGCCATCATCCGCCCTAAACAAGAAGAGAACCGAATTACGGCGTTCTATGCGCCTAATATGACGACCCCAGACACGGGCGGCGCATTCGAAGAGGCAATAGCGATGCTGGTGGGAACTGTGCTTGTGGACGGCATAGCGCGAAGCATGTCTAGATTATCCTCTTTTGTCAAAACTAACGCCACCGCTGACGTGGTAACAAGACTTGAAACCTTTCTTCCCTCGGGTGAAAGGCTTTTCAAGTGGAATCCAGACAGCTACGTTCCCGATTTTTACTCAGTTCGCATCACACTCGATTCCTACGGATACGGATACGGTCTCCAGAACACGGCCGTCTGGGCAGCCATGATTGTCCTGCTGCTCTTTGCGCTGATGTTGATTGTGCATATAGCATTTGTAGGCTATTCTGTCGCTAGGGGACGGTACTACGGTGGCGAGTGCTGGGAGGACGTAGCGGAGCTTATCGCGTTGGCAATGAATTCGGCGCCGAGCGAGAAGTTGTACGGCACGAGTGCGGGTGTGGAGCGCGTCGATACATGGAGGAGTTTGGTCAGGATCCAGGAGACAGGCGACCAACATCTGGAATTGTGTGTCGTGGATGGACAGCGGGAGGATGGAGAGACGGTAAAGGTCGGGAAGAAGTACTTGTAACCAGAGTGTTTGCTCGTAATTAGGTCGACACGATAACGTAGTTGAGGCCTAGATGCACTAGTCATTGACAGTGGTATATTCTGGGTTTGTTTAATTGGATGTATCGTCGCGAAGGAGTTTAGAGATCAAGGGTTTGCAGCCACAATCGGAGACGCGACACGAAATAGTAATTGAATGGTTTGGGCGGAGTTTCTTTCTAGTACTCCGACGTAAAATTTACAAGTAGAAAATTCTTATTTCCATTGAGAATATGAGCGTAAGTGGATATAGCTCCAACCTTTTATCGGCAAGATGAGGAGATCCAGCGTCTGGGTCTGCCGATATGGATGGTGATAGTAGAGACCCACTTCCAATATCACGGTACAGCACCGGGATAGCCGATATGTTGATCCTGACGGCTCGCTGCGATAGTTATTTTTGATACCAACGAAAAGACGCATTGTCTGAGTAAGGAAAATGCGGCGACCTTCGGTACTTACAGCAAGTTCTTGCGAAGTTGCTTGACTCAAGTAGTAGGCGTGTCAACGCATGGGGCCGCTTCCCCGAACTTGCGGGTTCAGGCCGCCAGCGAGGCTGACCGGCCAGCGGCCCCCATGGCCATGAGGCAGCCTGGCAACCTGTCCTTGGGTTGGAAATTTGCGGCTGAGTTCTGTGCGACAGAGCTTGTATCAGTTGGTGTTTCTAAACATTGAGGAGAGAAGAAAGGCGATGTTGATGAGATGTCGGTAAAGAGCTGCAGAGCCGCAGAGCCGCGCAGGATGCGGGCACCCGCAGACACCCCGCTTAAACTGCCTAAGGAGGGCCTCTGCAAAATCATCCAGCGCGTAGCCCATCGTTTGGAAACACACGGTGCACGGTGATATGGACTATGAGAGCACTTGTAAGCTCGACCGGTGAGAGCGTCGTGTTCGTGGTTCTACCTGAGAGGCAAATGATGACATGCCGCCTCGCCACTCCACGCTTATTGTGCCGCAACATAGGCATACGCCTCATGCTCCTTACATTTCAGCAACCCCAACTCCTTCAACCACTCAAAAAGGATCGCGATGCCGGTTCTCAAGCTTGTGCCACGTTCCACGTCTGTTGCACTGCCCTACGCGCCGAGGCATGGTTGGTCCAGAGCGGCGTGATTGGATTCCCGACCCATAATCCTGTAGCCGCCGAAGGCACCTCTTGCATGGTTTCATAGCCAGGCTGGTGCGGCGATCATGCAGTCTTCACGACTGCGCCGCAATATTTGCTCCGACCATGTACTGCATATGCCCGAAACTTGTACTCTGGAACAGAGTACTAACTCCCACATCCTCTCACGTTCTGCGTGTGTGCGAAACGTCAAGTGACTCCCTCAACCATGGCGACACCCACACCATCCCCCACATCGAAACATTTCAACCTAACGACCACTCAAGAGGAGAATGCAATCGAAACGGACCTGGCCCTTCCTGGCATCAAGCGTGGTATTGCCATTGGAGTAGCGTGTTCCGTATCGATCGTCGTTATCGCCATTCTTGCTTTCTTTGCGATCAGACGAAGGAACCGTGTGCTGGCTCGGAGAGCACGGCTCCAGACCACAAAGAGAGAGTCGATGGATGCCGAAGCAGGACCACAGGAGAAAGCTTGGTATTTTACACCCGCGTCATCACCACCGCTGCCAACACCACCACCGCTGCTTGTTGAAGCCGATGCTCGGATTATCTACGAATTGGATGCAGGCCAGATACCAGAACTGCACGGCGATACTGCTGCGCAAGAAGTAGAGGGAAATGGCAACATTCACGCCACGTCAGAAGCGGAAGAACTGTACGTTCGGAAGCTTGAGCAATGGAGGACTTGGAGCATGGCACTGGAGCCGGATACAAGGACTCGTACCACCGAACCCGTACGTGCTCCTGTACCGCTACTCATGGTCTCACCACCTGAGGCTTCTCCTGGTGAAGTCTCGCCGTTGCAGCGCTTGTCGAGGGACTACACCCCGCAGGACGGCTCGCCAGTATCACCGCCTCCAAATGTTCATTTTCCATCGGGTCATCGCGAGTACACCAACCATTGAGAGAGCGAAATTTCCAAGATTGGCTTCCCCGCTAGGAAAGCGCGAAAGAACGTATTTTGATTCGTAACGACATAAGATGCTAGCGGACCGTCAACACGACGCTTTCTTATCCTCGATACTCTTCGAATCGACGTGGTACCGATCGTCTTCGTCATCGATTGGCGAGTCCGGGAAGAGCCGCTCCCCAGTGCCTTTCTTTTCGTCGTTTGGAAGGACTTCGGAACCTGGTAATTCTGCAGCAAAGAGTCGACGATCACCAACGGCCTCCACGGGAACAACAGGACTGGCGAGTTCAGAAGCGCTCTTCTCGCTATTACACCCAGCCTCCATCTCCGCTGGCCCGAGGGCTCCACATTCGCTCCCCTTCGTCGCATTCTCCAAGTCGTACGAACTTTGTGACAGGGTGCTCTTCCGGCGTATTCCAGCTCGTCTTCGACGCACGCAAAACCAGCCGCCCAGTAGAAGTAGTATGACAGCAACGGCGACTGCTGCGCCGATACCAGCGCTCGCGCCAACGCCCAGACCGCCATTCCAGATTCTAAGACTGCGGGCGCTGAAGCAGAGGCTTGCGTCGAGGTTGAAGAAGGAAGAGAGGTTTGCGAAGATTGTGATGCATCGGCCGGTGATGGTCTCCCGGGAGGACCCGGTGTTGGTGGCGTTGGAGTTGGTGCAGGTGTAGTTGAGCTTCCGTCGTCGTCGTCATCATCGTCCCTGTCCTTGCGGTCTTTCTCTGTCTCGGTCGGGAGCGGCACAGTCGGATCTGTGGATGTCGACATGGCGGATATCACGATGATAGATGTATATATAGTAAGAAGACTGCCAGAGCGCACGTCGACAATTGTACAATAATGTGAGCTTCTAGTGACCAATTTTGGGAATACCTTCAAAATCAATTGCACTTGCTACACCCCACCTACATATGAACATCAGCGTCCCAGGACAATGGGCATCGACGACGACACCTCATCCATGTTTTCGCGTTCAAGCATCGGCAGAGTCGCGGCACCCATCGCTCATTCGCAGACGGCCCTAATAGCGCGTCGATTCCGCCGGCTCAGCCTCGTCTCCTCACGAAAACTTCGGTCAATTGTCATCTTGGCCTTACCTGCTACAGGCCTGACTTTTCCGTGCCTTGATGTTGGGTCTCGATAGGCCAATGACTTTGATGCTCCCATGTAAGATGGGAGACGCGTCCATCGGGGCTCCGCTGTGCTGTCGAGTTCGCCAAGCTGCGGAGGCCATCGCCGCGTAGTCATCAACTACCGATCCATTCGACCAAAGTTTGGAATTATCTTGCGCATAGAATGAATAACATTTCTGCGTGGCGACTTTTGTGTAGTGGTGTGCTTCGGGCTGCGCACAGTAGATATGTATGTATGCAGGAGCTCCTGAGAACTAAGAAACCTCACGGGCCAGCCGCTACATCATGCAGAGCTAATGACATCGACCCAGGAACTGGAATTGGCGATGCTGGGCCTAAGTCGAAAGTTTTGCCATTCATGGACAAGCCGATGCACAACACGTGGAGTCTCAGGCATCGCTATGATCACGCCGATTAGGTTCACGATATTGGGTTCATGGAAATGCGCGCAAATTGCCATGAGATGTATGACACCTATCTCTTTAGAGGAAAATCAGCGACCTGACGGCGAGGAGATGGTTCGAGTCAGTGCTGCGAAGCGTGTATGGTCCACATGTCGGCGCCATCGGAAGCGAGTCCGTCCCGTCCGCGGTGTCCCCTCCAGCCTCCCCGCCCCATCGCGTTGCACGCCGTTCAACGTGCCTCGACGCCGTCGCTCGCTCTATGCAAATGCTCCTCCTCTCAACCGATCATACAAACCGAATGCTGCCCAAGCAAGAAAATCAGCGAAATCTTTGACGCCGCGCGTCTGACTGGACTCTGGACCGGGCTGCAGACTGCAGCTCTCGCAATCGCTTTGCGGGACGCATCTACTGTGAGATTTTACGGTACACCCAAAGTTTCGAGTACATTAGCACGTGGTCTACGTACAGGGACAGATGCCTCGGGATGCTGCTGATTCGCTATTGCTGTCTGAGTAAGCAAGGGCCATGGAAAGTATCACTACCACCGTAGTGCCCGCGGAACAAAGCCGGTCGAGAACTCCTAGGGGGAAGAAACTAGATCGACATGAATTATACTTTCAGCCATCCCCAAGGTAGTCATCATTACCGCATAGGATATTGTGCCATCTCGAGAGCACGGTGGACTAAGATCGATCTTTGGCGGTGCGCCCATACACTTGCATCAGCTTCTGCCGCGGGATGAATGCCACAGGGTCTCTTCCGTGGCCTACAAGCATGCTATCAATCCGATAGACTCTTGTGCGGCTCTTCTGGATGGTCGATCAGCTAGATTGGTGCCTGCGCCTGCCCTTGCAGGTGATGGGGACGAAGAGGCCGTCAGCTAGCGCAGAGCGGCACACCCGCACTTCTTCAATAGCGCGACATTTGAATGGGGAATCCCTTCGATAATCGTCTGAGTAATTGCATGTTGAAAAGGTGATCTGGCGACACACAACACAATGGCAGAGGTTGGCAGAGAACCATGATACGTCGACGGCGCGCCTGAAACCAAACACCAGAGATCCAAAGGTCTGGAAGGAATGTTGTTTTTCGTTCCGGATTCATGTTCTGGCATTAAGAGCTAGCTTCGCACGTCAGTTAGGGTTACCGGTCTGATGGAAGAGTCTAATACTACCGCCCAAAGTCCTGACGAAAGACGCCACACAACGGCTGACCGAGAGATAATAAGGGGATCCACCGGGTCTATTGCGCATTCATCGTGCATATCCCACAGGCCACTCGCCCCCGTAAGACTACGCCGGTTGCGGCCCGACCTCTACGTGGATTCATATGCCTTCGGGCTCCTCTACACAGATTGTTGCGGATCTTACCTTCATTTCACATTGAAACCACTGAGACCTTGCATTATGGCAAGCCAGAACTCCAACCCCAACGCAGACCCCGTCTTCTTCGGTGGTATAGAAGTCGACATCACTCAGTTCGATTTCAGCGACCATACTTCGAAGGTCAACAGTCTTACGATAACATGCGCAGTCTTCATCGCTCTGGTGGTATTGACTGTTGGTCTCCGCCTCTTCGCAAGAGCGAAATACGTCGGCCATATCTTCATAGACGATTGTGCGGGCCCACCTACTCTCTCACAAAGGTCCCAGCTGATATATGACAGTCCTTATCATTTGCGCCGCCATCTTCACTGTTGCTCTGGCTGCAGTGTGTATCGCTGGTAAGCAGCAGGTACTTCGAGTGTGGACTCCAGCTAACGATATGTTAGCAACCCAATATGGCCTCGGGCGACACATTTGGCTCCTACCCATGTTGACACTCTTCGACACTTTGAAGGACTGTATATTGGTAGGTGCCAAGCTTTCATTGGGTGTCGTATCCTGGATATGGCGATTGTCATGAATGTTGAAAATGGACTTGTTGAGCTGTCACAACTAACGCGCTGTAGTATCTCTTCATCTGTCAAATCCTATACGCCTTTGCTATTGCGTTGACGAAGATCGCCATCATATCGTCGTACCTGCGTTTCATCCACGACAAGACCTTCCGCATCTGGATGTACGCGATATCTGTGTGCATCGTCGGTCTATGGATTTCGGGTAAGACAAGCCACAGTTCCCGACACGTGACATGTGCTGAAGTACTGTTAGGAATCTTCGTCACCATCTTCCAATGCCGTCCGGTCCAAGGAGCGTGGGACTTCACCCTCGAACCAGTGTGCGTCGACTACGTCACCTATCTATACGCCAGCTCCGCCGTTAATGTCGCGACGGATCTTCTCCTTTGCGCGCTACCTATCCCTCATATCTGGAGGCTGAACATGCCAAAGAGGCAACGAATCGTCCTATGTGTGCTACTCGCAGGAGGCGCAAGGTATGTGTAGACGGCAGGTCATCCAACTTTGCTAACCTTTGATAGCGCAAGCATATTGGGCATTGTCCGTATTGCCTTCTTGGACCGTTTACGCGTCCTGGATGTTACCTGTAAGTATTCTTTCGATGTGAGGATCATGATGGAGGGTGTCTTTGGGTGCAGCAAGCAGAGCACGAACTGCTATACCTGCCACCAACAGAAATCGCATTGATGTCGGCTATTCCACTCGAACATGAGAGCTAACAAATATACAGATCAGAGCGTCGAGTGCGTAATTATGTCGGTAGGCGAGTGCAGTCTGGGAATCATATCCGTCAGCATTGCTGCTCTTCGTCCAATGGCACGGCAGTTCTTCCCTAACGCGATGCGAAACTCTCCCTCTTCCTCGTCCAAGCCACGCGAAGCAGGACACGTTCGCCTCGAACACATACCCTCAAGCCAGGACAAGGATCAGTTCACATCGGAAAGCAAACATGATCTGTCAGGTTCATACGGATCGCATACACAAGTCTCTTGCTAGTCATCCATGTACAATCTAGACCACGTTTAAAAACCTCCGTACGGCTTCCCACCTCGCATCCCGTCCCCAAATGCTGCATTGTCGATGTATACTGCAGGGATACTATGAAAGGTTGAATGGTGACTTCGCGAGTCTTCTGCGAACATAGCACAGGCAACGTGAGCTTCATTGGACACAAAGAGTCCAGCGAAGCTTATGTTACCAGTACTACATTTGAATCCTTGGCTGCGTTCCTGACCTAGAAGAGAAACAGGAATGACGAAAGTCCTTGGAGGTTGTCAAGCTCTCGAGACAGGCGACCAAGAGCGGGACGGAACGCCTTGTTCAGCTGACCGCCAAGAAAGCCAAGCCGTCAGCCCAATCTCGCGCTTTTCCATGGCTGGCTAAACAACGATTGTAATTGGTCCAACACCCTCACGACGTCACAGACCATTACCAGAATCGCGTCAAGCTGAAAGCAGGCTGTGTTGGCGATCTTACTCTGCGCGCGCAGGCTGTGTACAGCGTTAAGGCGTCCACGGCGTAATTCATGAAGCACACCGCTTGTGGCCTGAATACATAAATGCGATGCGTCGCGCCTCCTTTCCATGTGCATACAACTTATCAAATCTGCCTCAAGGTTACACCAAAGACTCATTGCGGCGGCTCATACATCAACCAGTCACCCTTGATCTACTCATCAGTCTATAAAACCCTACCTAAAACCCATTGCCCCCTTCACAACTCTCCATCTTCAAACTACAAGCTTGCAAATCTACCCCAAACATCACCACCATGAAGTACACAGCAGCAACCACTCTTCTCCTCGCGACCATGGCGCTCGCCAGCCCAGCACCCGTCGCCAACCCAGACGCGGTAGCTGAAACCCAACTCATCGGATCTCGCGCCCAATTCCGCGAAGCGCTTGCCGCACGCGACACCCTAGTTATGCCAGAAGTTCAACTCGAAGAACGAGCCAGCAGCAGCGGCGGCAAAGGAGGAAGCAAGGGTGGAAAGGGCACTGGTGGAAAAAACACCACCGAAAGCGCGGCGTCCGACATGCTTTCACCAAGTCGCGCTCTGCAGATCACTGCACTGGGTCTGGGCGTTGTGGAGGTTGTGAGACTCTGGGGTTAGACGACGCGAGCGAGATGAAGCTATACGGGTTGAGAGCAAGGTGGCTATCATTGTATTTGGAGGAGAGAGGCGGAGTTTGATGTGGTCACGAAACTTTACTGAGCGATGGAGTCATGTTTGCATGTTATTGTATGATATTGGAGTTCGATACCACGGCATTCGGAAATCAATATGGAGTTCACAACACCACAACCTTCTACTTGCAGGCTAAGCTTAAGGCGCCCGCTACGTCACCCCGCATGTGTGCCACAGCGATCAAGTTTCCACACCTGACACGACAAGTCCAAGCACCGGACTTCAAGGACTGATGCCGATGGTATTGACCCGGATCGGTGAGCTCAGTGTTTGTTGTTCACTGAGTGATTTACTCCATCGTTGGGATGATCATTTCAGTAAACAGGCATAGCCACGGTGTGGCGGTGTTGATCGAAGGATGGACTGGATATGGCTGAGATGATCAGTGCACAGCCACAAAGAGCTGAGAGATCAGCAAATGTAATAAGCCTGAACAAGTTCACCATGTGCAGATCAAAGAGACTTGAAGTATGAAGAGTAAACATTAACACTGGTATCTGCCGCGGCCTAAACGCTAGAAATGAAAAACGCCGTGCAAATGCTATGCCCCAAACGCTACGCTATGCTATCGGATCGAATAGAATCCAAACCACTTTTTGTTGCCATGAAGCAATGTTTACAAGAACTTGTTGATCATCTTCTTCCAGCCACTGGCGGAAGATTCTTCCCAGGTCTCGCTAACTTCGTCCTCGAACTTTCCACTCAGGAGATCGGCTTCGGCGGGGTTGATGAACTTGCTCCTGGTGATGAGCTTGTGTCCAATGTAGAGTACGGCGAACAGGATCAAACTGATGTATGCAATGAAGAAGTCTTCAACGCTCCATGGAACAAATGCGGTGAAACCTTGGGTGATGGTGATGATGGCGCAGAAAGTGACACCGTAGATGGCGAGTGGGCGGCCACCCCATGACTTGAATGGAAGGGTGTCACGGTCGATGTTCTGAGCCTTGAGTGCGCGCATGAAGCTGATGTGGCAGATCAAGACACAAGTCCAGGCGATGAAACCTGCGACGGAGACGATGTTGAGGAGCCAGTTGAAAGCTTCTCCACCGTTGGCGCTAAGGTTCATGTAGGCAAGCAGACCCATAGCGCCGGTGACTGCGGTCGCCCAGTATGGGACACCTCGCTTGGTGGTAGCCTTGAGGAACGCAGGGGCACACTTCTCCTCCGCAAGACCGACAAGGATACGGCTGCCTGAGTAGACGTTGGAGCTGGCGGCCGAGAGAACGACGGTAAGCAGGATGGCGTTGAAGATATCGGGAAGAGCGGAGACTCCGGCGAGCTGGAAAGCAATAACCATGGGAGATGAACCGGCGTTGGTGTCACCAATCTGAAGAGCCTCGTTGTCGTAGGGTACCAGAATGCCAACGAAAAAGATTGTGAAGACGAAAAGGGTGAAAATGCTCCAGAAGGTCTTTCGGATAGCCGAAGGCATAGTAACTCGGGGGTTCGCGGACTCTCCAGCACCGATAGCGCAGAGCTCAGTACCCTGGTATGCGAAACCAGCCTGGATGAGAACAGCCCAGAAACCGACAAACTTGGCAACAGGGCCCTCGGCAAGGTATGGAGCGAAAGCACCGGGAGAGTTCCAGTACTGGAAGCCAATGTAGCCTTGTGCGCCGACACCAGCGTTCATGCAGATGGCGTAGATCCAGAAACCGACGAGGGCAACGACCTTGATGAGAGCAAACCAGAATTCAAATTCACCGAAAATGTCAACGGGCAAGAAGTTGACGGCGGTGATCGGTACCCAGAAAATAGTGATGAAGATGCCGATGCTGAGATTTGAGTCCCACCATTGGATGATAAGTCCAGCGGCGGTAAGTTCGAGTGCGTATGTGATGGACCACGAAAACCAGTAGATCCAGCCCATGGAGAAACCTAGCGAGGGGTCGACGAAGCGGGCAGCGTATTGTGTGAATGCACCAGAAATGGGGAGGTAGGTAGCCATCTCAGCCAAACTGAGCATGACGGAGTAGACCAGAGTACCGACGAAAACGTAAGCCAGGAGCGCGCCAGCGGGTCCAGCAGTAGCGATGGAACCTCCGCTAGCAATGAAGACTCCGGTTCCTACAGTACCGCCGATAGCGACGAACTGCAAGTGCCGGGATGAAAGCTTGCGCTGAAGCTCATCCTTGGGGGGTGCGGCCTGCTTCTCGACGTCGCTCGAAGAGTGCGGGACCGACTTGTCCGACCGCTGGTCCATCTTGGGCGTGATTTCCTCAGAGGCGGATGCCATATTGGTGGTGGTATTGGCGAAGGACCCTGGGGTGGGGCTTGAGGTTCAAAGTAAGAACAACAACGACGAAGCTGTGATGTATACGATAGATGTCAAGTGCGCAAGAGCCAGGGACGAAAACGATATTTCAATCAAACCACGGTTACCCACCACTCCAGAAAGTGGAGTCATGGCGCAAGACTCCATGAGCCATCATGTTAGCCGTCGGCGTACTCCACGCTCTGGAAAGCCAGTCGACCGTCCAAATTTTCATCGTCGGTCCACTTGGCGGGCAACAGAGTCGTTTTGCCGCGCAAGATGCAGAAGTTGAACCGTGACAGTAGCATGATCGAAATTTTCGAGCCAGGATCACGTCGGCTACGAGCGGGTCGGCGCCGCCAGTTCGCGTCGCCTTGAGCGCGACAGGCCAAGCGGCAATGCTTATCGCGGGATTACCGTGTGGAATGTGTAGCTTTGCCGTTCCGTATGTTCCCAGCAGAAAAATTCTGCATCTTAGCAGTATCTTTTTTGGGGTACTTTGTGGCGGCGGACGCGTTTCGGGAATAGCGAGAGGGCCGGCCCTTCATCGGGTCACGGCCTTGGCGCTGGCCGTGTCAGACTTCATCCATCGGGAAACCTCATCAGGCCTATCATGACTCCGTCGCATGTCACCGCATTCAGCTCACCCCTTTCCCCAGCCGGTGGTTGTAGAGATCTGCTTTGGTCATGCTGAGTCAAATGCCGCAGACTTTTATTTGCATGGCTTGAAGGCGCATCACGTTCTACTTGGGTAGTGTTGTTGCCAGATTCGCGCGACTATCACATCGTGAGAGCCCAGTTCGTGCACATCTTATGCGACCAGTGGAAATAGCCAGCCAGCATAGCAAGCTATCGATACCGCCTATACGTTCAGGACGCATACAAAAATCCGATGGAGCCTACCATCTCACGCGGCTAAGAGGTTTCAACATCAGGTGCGTTCACAACTAGCTTTCTCACCGCAGCATCATCATCATCATCGACGTCGAAAGCAACACGTACTATTAGTCACGTACCGAACGTGGCATAAAACTAGACCCCAGGTTCTTCAGCCTTATGCACTCCAGGACGAGCCCAAGTGTGGTGCTACCGTTGCGCTGAGACATGGGAGCCGGGACCCAGCCGAGCGCTCGCCGGACTGTCCTGGTAGAATCTGGGGACGTGTCTGACTTTTCATGTGATCTGGGGAAGATTCGCCTTGTTGCTGGACTAGACCACTTGGCCTTGAGCCGAGACCCTCGTCTCGTTGCCACTGTGTCTTTTCACCACCGCATCGTCGTACATGATCGGACACACATTAAATGTAAATCGCATGGATATCTCGGTACATATCATCTAGTCTTACTGCCGATGAGGCAGCCTGATTTGTGGATCGATTCGCTTACACGTCTAGATGTGGAGAAATTGGGACAGGTACACTAATATTACCACACTGCGGCGCTCAAGCACGATGCTCACTTCACCTCGATAACGAAGCGCTGTGAGCTCCTCAAGACTCCCAACTGACGCGCTCACTCGTCATCTTCGTAGTCCATCTCTTCGTCTTCGTCCTCATCCTCGTCGTCGTATCGATCTTCGTCCTCTCCATCGTCCTCATCACCATCCATTCCACTCGTGTTCTTCAACTCATCCAAATCCCACACACTATCCGGCAACCCCGCAATCCCGACATCTCTCTTCACAGTGATGATTCCGAACTCCTCGACGCCGCAGAAACCTCCCCTCCCACTCTTGCCAAAGAACCCCACAACAATCTCATCAGGGCTGGGTGTCAGCCTCACAATGTCCGAGTCACGCCTCGCGTTGAGCTCGCCCGCGCTGGTACCGTCGCTAAGATGTAGCCTGACACCATCCCTAGGGACGACTTCGACGGAACTAATCTCCACCCCCTCGGGAAGACGTATCTTCTCGGACGCATGACCACCGAACTGGTGCTTGCGGTTGTAGGTACGCATAGGTCCCCAGTGGCTCGTGTGGCCATCTGCATACTTCACCACGCCGCCATCCCATAGACATCCGACCCTTAGATCGATAGAAACGGCGCGGTGCAGGTTTCCGTCCTTGCCCTTCTCATGAAGGAGCTGCGCCCATTCGTACCGACGAGTATCGGACTCATCGGGGAAGGCTAGGCGCTTGGCGAGTCGGATCTCGGAGCCTGGGATGCGGATGTATGATCTGCTGGCGAGGAGTTTCCAAACATTGCCGATGTTGGTTTCCTTTCCATTATAGGCGAGGATATTGAGATGGAGGGCTTGGGATCGGTCGAAACGCTCTTCGAGAGAAGATTCCGTATACTCAATGCGCTTCGGGGCGTTGCGAGTCCAGCCGAGGGGCTGGGATGTCTCTGTACGGTTGAAAGTAAAGCGTACGATGCCGCTGCTTGAGCTGATGACGAGTTTCGTCGGGCCTTCATCGTCGGTGTGCTCAGCGTGGGCCTCGGGTGAAGCATGTCGTTCTTCGTTGCTGATTGTGGGGTCGATGGGCAGGCGGAAGTGGGGCAGCATGCGGAAGGAGAGCGCATCAGCTAGGTTCCAACGAGCATTGTTAGGAGTGTTGTGAGGGTCTACAAGTGCGCCTTCTGATTTGAGGTGGCCAGAGTACGCGGTCTTGGGGAGGAAGTTCTTGGGCCAGTCTTGCGCATATCCACGCTCCATGATGCCAGAGCGATGAGGCGATCCGAATGCGTGACCGATTTCATGGAGGAAAGCGCCTTGGCCGATGGCGCATGCTTCCCACATGGTGTCGCACTGGCCGTTGTCATTGCCTACTTTGTCTCCAGGTGCACGGACGTCTGTGAGACAGCTTGTGACTTCTTCCAAGAAGCGTGGCCAGGAGTAGGTCAGGTGGCTACCGAACATACCCAGTGAGATTCCGTCAGGGTTATAGCAACCAAGAGCTGCGTGTCCGAGAATCAGCTTCTGCGAGATACTGTAGTGTGAGTCCAAGATCAACCCAGCAACGATGGGTCGGGCATTGGAAGCGAAAGGACCTCCTTGCTCCTTGAGCGCATCCAAAAACCAGTCGAACAAGTCATTGTCACGACGTGCAGTAGGGTTTTGTTGTGCGACCTCTTTGTTGCGAATTTCCTTGACAGTCCTGGAAGAGCGAATAATGTTGACCTTGGCAGTCGATCGCATGGCACCTTCACTGTCGAGAGTCTCTTCAGCGCGCGCATTGAGGAAGTCGCGACTAATCGTGTCCGCGGTCCACTCCTCATCCAGCCTGAACGATCGACGCCCAGCACCTTGCAGCCTCAAGTCTTCCGCGGTCATAGCTTGCCACATGTAAGCCGCCATGCGCAGCTTGGCGATAGCTGCATCAAGGTCTGAGTGCGCCGAAGAAATCCCCGCAGCCTTTGAAGGAGGACAGTCGATGATACATGGCGAGTCTGCGGCGACCATGATAGCGAGGTGAAGAGGCGGGTACTGCAAGAGCGGGATGTAGTTGACGTTTAGCTCGATGATGTGTTCAAGGCAGTCATTGCAGACGTAGGCAAATTCCAGGACGTTCTGCCCTGGCGAGAGCATAACGAGAGCCTTGAAGTTACCGCCTGCTATCGGCCACGTCTGCTCGGGAAAGGAGTCGGCCTTGTTTGCACCTTTGGTAGCAACATGGATGTAACTCCCTTCAGCAGCGGTAAGCGCATAGGTACCCGTGACTAGGAGACAGCGCTGTCGTACGTGTTAGTTATAGACGGTCAACATAGGAATTACACCATACCTGATGGATCGTTTCCCCGTCTGCGACATTAGTGATATTGAGAGGGGTTGAAATTGGTGCCATTTTGATGCGATCGGAGGATCGTTGGTAGAGTGTTTCGGTGATGTTGTGCAGGAATAGGAATATAACGTCAAATTTTGTCAAGAGACGTCGCGATGTATCTGAATGTCATTTTCATGTCGTCTTACTGTGAGTTTTATATTCCATTTCAAACGCCCGTGAGCAAGGCTGCAACTCCTTACTATGTTGTGGCTTTCAGGCAGCCATCCCAAAACGGCTAGTCTCAGGTTGTTGCCTCGTCGAGGATGCTGGGTACCTAGGTAATGTCTTTCACGTAACGTCACCATAACAACTCGCATACTGAGAAGCGTGACATCCCTAAAGGTTCGAAGCATAGGGTGATTACACGCGATGCAAAACACGTTGAAATTTCGATGATGCGTTACATCACCATACACTGGTCGGCCGCGCCGCCCGTAATCATCGAACTCATGGCTTGCATCGCCCGTGCTTGGAACATCTCTTGCAAATCGGCATTCCCAGCTGTGACCTCGGCCTGTGCGGCAGCGGCCGCAAAATTATGCTTCCTCTGTTGTCTGTGCTCCTGCGACCAACCTTTGTATAAGTTGTCCACATTCAAAGGTCCATCATCCGTAAAGAGCCTGGCGGCTCCTTTGTGGTACTTCGTCAAATCCTTCAAGCATACCTCGCTTTGCGCGCACTCATAGTTTTCTTCCTGTTGCCGTAGATGATTGCGCATCGCTCTGCGCGCTATGTCCATGAATCGAGGATATTTCCCTTCGATTAGGGACGTAGTAATGATGGTATTCGCTGCATGTTGCGGCGATCGTCCGGTTTCTGAGAAAGACGGATCCCAAGCTGGGTCGTTCTCGAGCGCTGCGTAGATGGCTTTCCACGTATCCGAGCATTGCCGCTGCATCAACGTTCCGTTGAAATAAAGATCTGGCAAGTCAGCCTGCAGCCAGAAAGCAAAATGTTCCAGAATAGCAACAGATGTGAGTCCGTCTCTGCCGTTAATAGGCTCCAGTTTTAGTCCCTGCTGCTCTTGAGAAGCTTGCATCGCGCGCGCGAGACGGCCACGGGTTGCATCAGGAGCAGAAGCTTCGAGAAGTGCCGTAGTAATGGTGTCGATTCTCCCATTGAAGGCTCCACCGGGTATCTTCTTGATCCAACAGCCACTAGCACCGCGCGGCAAGTAGACAGTCTCTCCAAACACGGTTGCATCTCTGAACAGTCGAGACTTGTTAGTGGGATCATATCTAGGCCGGCCTAGATCTCCACGGCTAAGGTCCAGACGATCAAAGGTATATGATTGCACCTGCTTGAGCGTGGGCTGGCCAGTAGCAAGATCGAAGAGAGTCCGTGCTTCCTCGGGCGACTCGGGTGGTCTCTTGATCAACACGTATCGGGGATCCTGGCTGAAGAGCATGAACTCCATGTCGGGCCACACTGGGTCGGAAGGGCTTCTCAGCTGTGTCCCCATATAAACATGAGCCATGAAAAGAAGAGAACATGAAGTTGCTTCGTGTGACAGGCCAGCCGCGTGCCAGTGAACGAGAAAGTGGTACTTCAACATGCCGTTGAGCAAAGGATGGTGTTTATATATGTAGAACGCTTTTTTCTTCATCATCCCGAAGATGGGGTGTCCATTGACCTTTGGATCTTGCGCAAGCTGTTGCCATTGTTCGGCAAATCCGTCATGGTTGGCCCAGGGACTGATGTCGTTGTATGCTTCTCTGAAAGGTTTGTAACATTCATCTTGGATATTGTCTGGCATCATCGGATCCTCCCAGTTATTCGTAATGGCCTGTTCTACTCCCATTAGATGGTTCAGGTAGACCTGAAGTTCAAAATGCGGTCGGTTGGTCATCTCGCCCATGATGTCTTGCGAGTCGAAATGAAGCTGGACGCCATATGTAAGCCACATTGGGATCTTGTGCTCGGTAAACATGTCCAATAGACCTTTGGAAACCATATCCAGCAGTGGTGGGCGTTTGGCTGCTTTGGCGACGATCCGCATGATTTGGGCAAGTTCGATTGCTCTGAATGTTCGATTGTGAATGTTGGCATCGCCGAAGTCCTTCGGCATCACTTGCGGAATCGAGTTCTTTTTTGTCATGTGCTTGTGGAGGTAGAACTTCAAGCCAGCGAAGACCGGCCAGAAGTCGAAATGTGCTTCACTCTGGGCGTCCGCTGTAACGCCAAGCCTGGTGGAAGGCTTTGCAATCTCCGCGAGAGACCACTTGTGCATATCCTCGTGGTTGTTGTAGAAAAGAACGGCGGGGAGCGTCCAGACCGGATACTCGGTGACTGGATATTTCTTCGGTCGTGTTACTAGCAAGTCGAACTTCGCCTCCGCACTTTGAGCAAGCTTAATAGCCGTATCCGTGGTCATGGCTGCCACAATCAAGTCGACTTTGCCGCTCTTGTATTTCTGCCAGTTGTCACGGACCACCTCCCTCATGTCCTGTTGCTCCTGTAGCATAAGCGCAACAGCAATCCAGAAGTCGTCCTCTTTGTCTTCCTCAGCTTCCTCGAGCGTGACATTAGATACGTCAGGGAGTGTATCTTCGGCAATATCTTCCTCGTCGGCTAGTGCCACGAGCTCATCGACGGTCAGCCCCGCGAAGCGATTGCGTGAAGATAAGTCAGCCACATTAGTAGCGGAACCATTGTTGCGTGCGATTTCTGGTCCGCCCGACCCGAGGAATGGCTTGAGGGATGCGAAGGTGTCCTCGAGAACCTTGATGAAATATTCGTGCCGCAGGTCACTGTTTGTATCCGGGTTGACTTTCGCCTTGTACCATTGCGAGACCTTCCGACGTGTCTGAATGGCGCGACTGAAGTGCCTGCATAAAGCAACAGGGACCATAATCTCAGACTCTGCTTCTTCTCCAGCTTTAGCTATCGCTTCTGCCATGGGTACAAAGTCCGATACTCCGAGTTGGTATACTGTGCCACCACCTCCACCATTCGCATTCTGGTTGCCTTTCCTGCCCGCGCCCTTTTTCGACTTCGATTTCGACTTTGTCTGTTTTTGTTCTTTCGTTTTGACTTCGAAGCCGATGGACGCGGCGGTTTCGGCAATCCATCCTGCAATGTATTCGGTGGCTCGCTTGTACAAGGTGTACTTGGCGAGGAAGGTCTGTGGCTCGTTGAGACCCGACATGTTGTGACCCGATTCGAGGCAGAGAAGCGCTCGATGTTCGCGTTCTGCAATGGGTGGGGTGCCTGAGTGCGACGATGGCGGTTCCTGGTGCTGCCGCAGCTCGTATAGCTCCAAATGAGAAGGCGGGCAAACCCTGCCGAGCGCCGCTAGACCTATTTCCCACTGCACGTGACCTCAGAAAGGCGGGGCACCGAACTATCAGCGAGCACGACTCATAACGGCCCGAATCGATTCAAACACTCAACTACGCCTTAGATCCATTGGTATAATACGGCGTCATGTCAACGCAGCCGTTGTATGGATGCGAAACTGAATATCAGAATGATGAGATTGCTTGAATGTGCATAAAACGTATCCTGTTTTTGAGTGCCTACCTAGGTAGGTATGCTCGACATCCCGATCAGAAATTGACCATGTAAAGAGAGCTTCGGGACCTCAAAACCAGCTGCTGTACTCGTTTGTCAAGCGCATTCTACTTTATTCTTCGTTACGTTGTACCTACGTAGCAATAAATTAGGACAGGTCTATTGGACCATCTACTTTTCGACTATCATAGGCTTCCTAGGACAGGTGTATACCTAGGTAATCGCGACCGGATGCGAGATCTTCAGCGATGGGTGTTGCAGCGCATTCATTCAGAGTGTTGGAGTCGCACAAACCACGATGGCGATTCGGAACTTGCGTAGCCAAATATGTTTGAACGCGGAATCTAAGGCTGACGAAATCTCACTTGCACTTGTTGCAAGCCATGTTGACCGAAAGAAAGAGAACAGGGCTGTTTCTATAGCAAGAAGCGCAGTAGGTATGGAGGATATCAGTACCCGTAAGTACAGTTTGAGCAGCGGTGAAGGACACCATTTACAAATCTCTACATGTACTTTGGTAGTCGCCAAAAAGGTTATTAGAATTGTCAAATAAGCGGTCAGATGCTACTACTGTAGTCAGTAATCGGCTATCGTCGTCCACTGTGCTATGGTGTTGGTTCGAGATCTTAGTCGCGCCGTAGCGGCATCGTGGCGTTTGTAGACCCGACCAAGCGCCAGATCAATCAAACTCAAAGTTGACATTCACGCCGTCGAGTGTAGTGTTGTCTGTAGTAGCAGTCTGACTGCAGAGGTCGATTAGAATCTGACCCTGGGGTCATTCTAGAACAACATGAGGAGAGCGGTGACTGTTGGCGGATGCCGACGAGCTTCGGAGCATGGCCGTGCCCTTCCTGGTGTGTCGCAAATGTCCCTGGCACATCTGGCACATGGCCACATTCCATCGCAATGCGCGAGCACCTCAGTACCATGGCGTCGCATTGCTTCTGGCCCTTCAACTACGCGCTGCATGTGCTGTACTTACCGCCTTGAGCTGTCACGTCCGCTCCTGAGTTTCGTCGACCCTGCGCCACCACACGCACTAGGCCATCAGCCTCGTCGCCCTCGCGTAAATAGGATGGCAGGATCGCGTGGAAGAATGCGTTTCGCCTCAAAGAATGCACTTCAGTTAAATGAAGTGTTTGTCGCGATTGGCTACGCGATAGCAAAATGATGTAAATCGTCCTGCACGACTTGTTCAGATCTTGCTGCGTTGTCAGGAACCGGGTCTTTGTTGTGACGTAGATCGATGCAAGCGAGGTCGGCTGCTCGGGCTGTCACGCCAGGATCAGGCAAGGCGCGGTCAAGTGGGGCTTAACGGCCGCCTGGGCATGCAACGTTCCGTCCCATACATTTTCACAACGTCTCCTGAGAAATGCACCTTCTTTCGTCGTTTAGGACCGAATGCGGGTCTCGTTGTGCTGACCAGATGTGTGCGAATGGCCTCATCCAAACTCTAACGGATATTACGGATGTAAATGTCAGCCTTAGGACAATTCGCACAATTTGACAGCCTTCGACGTTTGAACTCTGTGAGTACCTATAGATTCCCATCCTTGTGCTATATCAAACGCTAGCCGAACCATCACCAGGTTTTCCACCGTGTTACAGGGCTTCCTTGGAAGCTGGTTCTAGATTCCCATTCGCCAATACCCTTGCTAAACCCCTTAGCCCCACGTTTCGATCGCTTTTCTGGACTTCGTCACACCTACCTCTAGCATCATCGGATGGCGTATTGAGGCGCTTGAGTTCTTTGACAGCTGTTTGCCACACCTTGTCATGGGTCAGCTCTGGTAAATCTGCCGGTTGCTAAAGAAAGATTTTCAAGGTTGGAATGAACGCGTGGTGTGGGTGACGATGAAGCATCGCCTCCACCAAGTCGATCGGTCAAAGCAAGACGACAATTGTGTACACATTCTCACATTCGCATGAATACACGTTCATGCTAGGTGCCGTTCAGGCGGTCTACGGGCACTCAGACCACATCCACAAGCGTTTGACTTGGTGAACTTGAGGCTCGGAGATGAGCCTTATGCAGCGCCTGTGAACGAGCGCTCCGGTAGCCGGTACCCCAGCTTAGGGTACGTCACTGGCGCTGAAGCCTCAACTCGTGGAGGGTGTCCGACCAACCTATGGCACAGTCTGGGGCAGCCACAAAACCCTATGAGAGGCTTTGACGTGAATAACGTGCATACAGCCAGGACACCCTGCAGCAGATGTACGCGCCAGGGGCAGCGAAAAGATGCCCAATGTGTAAGTATGTTCGCGTTCGACATCTGATCCCTGCCCTGAATGGCTATACCTCCGATATCGATCTACGTTCCACAGTATCCATTCTTCATGCGACAGCAACTCCAGCCGTGCAGGTTTCGAGATCAACAGCCCTAACGGATACTCCACCCTCGGTACCAACCAGTCAGCATGATCAGCCAGGTACCACAGAGCCAAACCAGCTGAGATCGACGTCATTCTTTACCGGGTGCAGACTCGCCATGAAGAAGTTGGGGACGCCAGGTGGACCTGTCACCGTTATTCTGACCGTTATGGACGTGCGCTCCCGGCTGTCAGCTAATTCCCCTGGCGTCGATGACGATCGTAGCCTGGGTATGCCGGTGTTTGATGACGATGGCAATGTAATGAAGCGTGTACTTGGAATGAACCTTGAACAAGATGAGGACTGAGAAGGTATAAAGAGGGCAACGATGCCTCGACAATTGAACATCATCCAACACATTCAACTCACATCAACAACTCTACAACACCACTTCCAAACCAACAACTTCTTCTTTCACAAGAACCAACCAACCCAACAAACTTTCAAAATGCAGTTCACCATCACCGCCATTGTCGCTTTCGCCGCCACCGCCGCCTTCGCTGCTCCTCTTGATGAGCGCCAGGTTGGCCTCTGCTCTTCCGGCAACCCCGTCTGCTGCGCTACCGATGTCCTGAACCTCGCCAACTTGGACTGCGCTCCTCGTACGTCCTTCCCATCTTCTTTTCAATCAAAGATATGATCACTAACATTCTCTCAGCTACCACCACCCCCACCAGCATCAACCAGTTCATCGACGGATGCGCTGAGTCCGGCCAGCAGGCCAAGTGCTGCCTCATCCCCATCCTCGGCCAGGCTCTCATCTGCTCCGACGTCAACCCCACTGCTGAGGCTCCCGCTGCTTCCTCCGCATAAGCGCCTTTTGTCGCTTCTCATTCGGCATGGCGCGAATAATGTATATCCTCAACGATGGTCGTGCCTTGGTTTCTTAGACATGTACAACATCTTTTCTTCGATTGTTTTAGATAGGGAGTGAGCATTAATACACATTTCACTTGGAATAACTCTTCTTAATACGGTGACATTGATGCATTCTATGTATAACTGGAAAGACAAGAGAGGTGTTGAGAAATACAACCCATGTTGTGGGTGAAGTTTGAAACGGCGTGAAGTACCGAGGAGGTATTTGAAGACTGTGAGGCTGTCGGTATGACAGCTGATGATGGTGTGAGACGTATACAAGGACGTCGGACTCAAGGCTTTGCTGTGTCTGGAAGCCATGTCGGCGCCATCTTCTCCCACAACTCCCTGAGAGGACGAGTCTTGTAGTGCTTGTCACTCTCTTTCTTATCATTGGAGTCGTACTGGTGACACAGCCAATCCCAAATCTTCTCTCGTCCGAAGACGTTCTGGTGGAAATACTGACAGGCTTGGTACCATTCATCCCGAGAATCCCAATCTGCAACCTCTTGGCACTGATTGGTCATCTCGGCAGCGCGAGAGAGGCAAGCCGTCATGTTGCCCATTAACGGTGCCATCTCGAGTCCGTGCTGACGGAACAACGGGCATCCACGACCTTGGAGTCGGAGAACTATTGAAGCGCGTTTGAAGATTGGCGCCATTTTCTCAAGCTCCGTCTTCACATACGAGGCCATGATGAACTCTGGATGCTTCATGGGTAACGAAAGAAGCTCTGGTATATCGTATCCACCTATCGTCTTGCTGGCGGCTGCCTCGTTGGGCCATCTGAATCGCTTCCACGTGAGACTAATGAGCTGCTTCTCCGGCAGGCCGAACCAATCCTCATTGCTGAAGTCAATGAGGCCTGCTTCACCTTGAGGCACTATCGGCTGCTGGGGAGGTGCCTGTTGGATAGGCGCGGAGGTACTCGGTGCCTGTTGCGGCTGCGGAGTGATCGTGATGGCGGGAGCAGGGAGGTGCTCAGTGGTGGTGGGAATGGTGGACAGCGTCCCCATCTTGGGTGCTGGAGGTTCTTGCGTACTTGACGCGGGAGGCTCGGGCCTCACGATGATGAGGTCTTGGAGACAATCCTTTAACCCAAGGTAGTTGGCGAATTGACGATAGAGCGCAAGGAAAACCATCAGTTCCTGGCTGCTTTGGATGAAAGCACCTTCAGGCACCAAGTAGTTCCAGAACTCCACGATACAGGCATTCCAGCCAATATGGAACGACTGCTCCATAGTCATACCGCCCACGAAGTATGGCTTCAGGTCACTCTCGGCACTCGCCATCAAGGTCCAAATCGCGTTTGCCGACGACATGTACTCAGTGCCGGTACTGGCAGCAACCAGAAAGCCCCTCATCGCAGTCTCAAGAGTAGGTGCTTGACTAGCCAGGTTGCTCATGGTCGACCTGGCAAGGTCTTCGAGGGATGGCTGTGGCGGGGCCGGGAGGTATGTGATAGGTAGCTCGACAACCTTATGGGCAGGTGCGATGACTACATGGTCCTTCGTGGTAGTCGTTGTCGACTTCGTAGTGATTTGAGCCACTTCTGGCTTGGCTATGGTAGGTGCCGCGGCGACCTTTTCGTGCTCGGTAGAGCTATAGGCTGGTGATGGTTGCCTAGGTGCACACCGCAAGTAATCACGTTCTTTGCGACGGGTATTGCCCCAAGAAGTCGATAGTTGAAGAATGGGATAGTGTGTCGGGTCGCGTCGATCGGAGTGTGCGAAAGACTCACCGGTGCCGCGGAAGTTGGTGAAGGGGAACTCGAACGGCGGAGGGTATGAAGGAGGCGCTGGCTCTGTAGGTGCTGGCTCTGCAGGCGGTAGTGTGACGGGCGGCGGTGTGATGTGAGCGATGGTGGGAGTGACATGGAGCTTCGTCTCTTGCGACTGTCCCTTTTCGGCAGGTTCGTGGGAGTGATCTTGGTCGGCCTCGGGATGAGGGCCTATCCAGTAGGTATACTTGATATGTACGTATAGGTAGAAGGTGAGATAGACGCAGATGAGAAGTGAGATGAAGCGGAGGTAGAGGGGAACTCCTTCGAAGTTGTGAGTGAACTGATAGTAGACTTCCCAGCAGATCTCCCAGTATAGGTACGAGACGGAGGTGTTGAGGTAGCGAACAACCAGCGGAAAGACGCCAAATGATGCGGCGATGCGACCGATGTCGAAAGCTACTAGCAAGAGGAAGCAAAGAAGGGCGATGGTGACAGTGCGCATCTTGTCGGTAAAGCGTGCGGCAGGTAAGCTCGCAAAGCAGGGTATGATGAGGTCTTGGGTATCGTAAAATAGAAGAGCTTGTGTTGGTAGCTGCGATGGAAAAGAATTGGAGTGTTTGGTTTGGAAACTGAGAGCAATGAAGCAGGACGGGTGTTTTGAGGGTTTGTATCGCTTTGCGTGTGGGCAAAAGATATTTCGACTGCTATTGTGGCTGGATCCGTGCCTATTGTTGGTCACCGTGGAAATGACGACGAGTTATTCTGAAAAAGCGGTGGTGAGTCGCGAATTGCGATGCGGAGCGCTGGACAAACGGAAGGCTTGGCGCGATACCGGCGGTGGATGAGAAGTGAAAGGGACAGCGACAAGACGCGCTAATCGCCAGAACGCTATCATCAGATACAAATGATATGTTTGATTAGAATATCGTGCCAGTAGAAGGAGAGACACCCAAATCAAGGTGTTTATGAAACATGGCGTTCGTTCAAGTCGGTGGGAAGGACCATAGAGAAATATCCAGTCGAAGACGGAAGATGCGTAGTTGACGAGTCTTTACCTACAGATTCATGTCGCAATGTGAGTTCGGAATTCAAGGCCTCCGTCCAATCTGAAGATCTAAAGCCTTTGCGAGGATGTAGAGCATCTCTAATCGTACGCAAGCCACGCCCTTCTCCTTACCCATGCGGACAGGGTTGCCCACAATAGCTTCGACTTCTATTCTCCGATACGACTGAACATCCTGAAGCATACTAGGTTCAATACCAGCGTTCATCGGGATTCTGGCTTGCGCCCGACTAAGCTGATTGTCCACCTGTTCCCGCGTGATCTCGTATCCATAGGCAGCTGCGATATCGCGAATCTCAAGCATCACGGCTAGTACAACACCGTCGGCCTCTTCCGAAGCAGTCAAGATGTCTGTGTCTTTGCTGAGAGTGAGGGCACACATGGGGTTCCAGGATGCGTTGACAAGTAGTTTCATCCATCGCTTCTGCTGAATGTCCTCATAGAATTCCGCCGTAGCGCCAGCTGCGGTGACAAGTTCCGTGAAAGCCTTGGCATATTTACTTGGTGCGGAAGAAGGGTAGGAGCCAACTTGGAGTTTCTCGACTTCGCCGTGTTTGATGATGCCGGCTGGGCGTTGAGTGGCGGGCATGTAGACGACAGCGCTGATGATCGGGTTGTCTGGGTATGCCTTCAGGTACTCTTCCTCTATACCGACGCCATTTTGGATAAGTACGATGACCGTGTGTCCAGATGTGACAGCGGGAGCGATAAGTTTTGGTACCGTTTCCGGAATAGCCTTGCTGCAGACAATGATGTAGTCAAACGGATCTGATGATTGAGACGCTGCTTCTCCACAGTCTCGGACTACATCGGGTCTGAAATGGAGGTTTTGACCAAATATGGATGAATTGATGGTGAAGCCATCTCTCTTTACGACCTCATAATTCGAGCGGCAGACGGCGGTGGTCGCGGCTACCTTGCTGAGCAGGTACAAGTATACCGTTCCGACGCTGCCGGCACCAAACAGAAGGATCCTTGGCTGCTTCCCCGAAGACATGGTGGAATCTTAGTATCGAAGATGTTGTTGTACGTAGCTCTCCTGCAGTGCGACAGGGAAGATTGGATGGATGTCACAGTCATGGCCCCACGGCTCTTTCCGCGGCCCCCAAATTTTCGCCGCGGAACGGGTACCCGCGTTCTTCCCAAGCCAACTTGGCGCTCCTTTACAGACCATCAGTAAGCCATCTGCGGGAACAGTGAATCCTTCATTGTATACTTGAAGCGGCTATTAATCCACGATGATAGGGGCCGTCTTACTTGTGGGCTCATTGCACGCGCGCAGGCTGTCGCGACAACAGCAACATCTTAGAGGACGATCATCGCACACAACCGGATAGCAGCCACTGTGATACAGCAGCATAGCGAATAGCCCTGAAAAGGATATCAGTGCCTCAGCCGCACTGTGGGCCCGCAGGAACGCAGCGTGGCTTTTCATGCAATCTGGAGCCTCGCCTCGATTCGCTGCCTACGTTACCCATGCCGCATCCTGCATGCCAGGTCAGGAAAGGAGTGGTCCGGCCTGTGAAGCTATGATGGATACGACCCCCAAGAGCTGGGCAACTAACTTCAGGTTGCCTTACATGTTAGTGGTCGTCAGCTCCGTACACCAGCTGTAGTTATAACAGCTATGAGATGAACCAGCGCCCTCGTATTCTGGTTGTCTGCTTAGCCGCCCCGCCAAAGCTAATTTGCGGCTAACGTACCGCGCGCCGACGCGACGATGCATAACATTCTCTTCCTCCTCCTGACCGCACTCGCAGTGCGCGTTTTCTCGACGAGTCAGATCGCGCTTTTCGAGGATGATAACTGCCAAGAGTCGCTGCGAGGTTTAGAGGGTCCAAACGGCTATCCTAATGGAACCTGTACAGATCTCAGGCGCAATGGGCCTTACGGCAGCTTCCAGGTCGTTGGCCTGGACCCAGGATGCACAGGTATGTTGCTGCGCGTCAAGGTGAATGCGAGGATGGCCATACTGACATTGCGCGCAGTCACTATTTACATGAACGATACGGCCGTCGACATATGCTCCGGCTTCCAAGAAGAAATCCAACCGATCGACTGCTACAACTCGACCTTCGTATACTACAGTATTGACTTCTGCGACGCCGCCGCCATTGGTGAATCACCATCTGCCACATCCACACCTACGCCTACATCGACCCCGTCGTCCACACCACCTCCCTCAGGCTCCTCAGGCTTGTCAACGGGCGCGATAGCGGGGGCAGCAGTCGGAGGAGGCATAGGGCTCGGCATAATAATCGGATTAGCGGTGTTCTTCATCATGAGGAGGCGGCATTCGTCACGCCCACGGGAGATGTCAGGTTCTACGGAGCTTACGAGCGTGACGCCATACGAGGTCCACGCAAAGCATATTCAGGAGTTGGGACCAGGAGCGGTGGCATACAAACACGAACCTGTGGAAATTGAACAACCGCCTGTTGAACTCGGCGGCATGGAGCTGCGACGGCATGAAGAAAAGGGCATGCATTAAGAGTGTGTAGCTTAGGTATGTATTTGAATTGCCATGTGCATGTCCGTCTTATGAGCAGCACGAAGTGAATGAAGGTGTTACTCTGCAACTCTGTTCCAGTGCCACAAGTCTCATGAACATGCCCGAACGCCGCGTTCGCTCAGGTGCCGAAGAGCTTCTTAAAATTCTGGAAATGTGTCGGCGAACGTCCATTCACCATTTTGATAGACGATGTCTCTTGCCAGCGCTGCTTCACCAACATCGAAGGAAACCCTATGGGGATAAACCTCACCCGCCTCGCTCTTGATGCCAGCGCCCATGAACACCGTTCTCGGCTGACTGCGCATCGCACTCAGAGCAAGTTGGACATCTTCTGGGTCGGAGAGTAGCAAGACCCCGTCATCTTCTCGGCTCCAGCGTCTCACAGTCATCGATGAATGTGGATAAGGTGCTTTCTCGAGCAACTTGACAAGCCACAGGTATTCGATTCGCGGCATTGTCTCGATGATCTGTAACGGCTCGGTCCATTCTCCTTCTGGAAAGCCTATGGATGAGCATGACAGGCTTCTTAGTGTACTGGCGTGCGTGCGAAGGAAATTGGTCCAGTCAGTGTGTGAAAAGAACACGTCTTCTAGGTGAAGATGTGAAAATCCAGGCCAATGGAAAGGTCCAACTGGTTGATAAGATAATTCCATGAAATGATTATCGGCCCCGAACACGAATCTGCGCAGACTTGAGGTTGCACTGAGCAGTCGGCACAGCCAATCAAGATCCACCTGGCCCAGGACACCTACCGAGTGAACTCGTCTGGATAGCTGACACTTCCAGACTTCGCAATCGAGATCCAGGAATGTCACCAGATCTTCGTTAGAATATTCCGTGTTCCAGAACTCAAACTGCAAACCGACCTTCTCATGTACACCGGCGTCCAGGAGAATCTTTGGGATCAAATCGTATACTCGGTTCTTACCGCTGTCTCCGTGCCTCTCACGTGAAGCAGGGGGGTTGAGGAGCTTTGCCGGGATGATGTGGGCCCGTCCACACCTGATGCCGTCGTCTGTTGGCTCTGGGTCGAGATGATAGAAACTGACGACATCAACTCGAACCATCTCTAGATTCTCCAGCTCCCGAAAGGCTTCTTTGAGAGTCAACGTATCCATGCCCGAGCGCTCGACGCTGACTTGCAGATCCATGTGGAGGTCTTGTTGTTCGATTCCATTTATGCTCTGTCCGATGCGTTCGCCACTTACAGTGATCTTGCGGACATGCTTAGATAGCAAAGGATGATGGCAGATCTCGAGAAGCGTCGTGAGGCTGGTAGGATGTAGGATGACGATGAGGTGATGGAAGAACCGTTTTCCGAATGCGTTGGCCGAGTGCGCGTTGAGTGCTCGACATGCGCGACGTAGATTGAGAAGGTCAGTATCCTCAAGGCGGTCGGAGACGCTGCCTACGATCTCAGCGGGGAGGTCAAGTAGTCGAAAGGGTGGCTGGGACGCTCTAGCGAGAGCTGCCCTTGCCCTTTCACTAGCAGTGACCCTGTCTTTGATGCACTGCCAGCACATGTGTAGCGATGGAGGAGACGAGGTTGCAAAGTCTGCGTTGGTGGAAGGTGAGAGTTCGTGTGGGCGAAACGCTCTTGCCCGTTTGCCAACACCCGGGTCGTGCGCTGTTTACGCTAGGCCTGAACCTGTAGTGAGAGAAGGTACAACAGGGCAAGAATGAGCGAGCGAAAAGAATGATCGGCAAACTTAGAAAGGAACGAATCGTGAACTCATTGACGACATGCAGCTATCTATGCACCTGTGCTTGGATCACGACCCTCAGCGGACCTCTCCAACTTTCCTGGCTATCGTACCCATCTTTTCAGTGGCAGTCTTCCTGCAGTTACCGACTCCGCTTTTCGTCTTTGCCTCGCACCTTCTCAATCCATTAGGACCTCTTGATCGATGACAAAGCAATATTTGCTGATGTGAAGTCGATCTCGTGGCAAACCATACTGCTGTCATACTCTTCATAGGTAGAAACATCTGAAAGCAGAGCTCCTAGGGCGAGCAAGATCTCCGACCGATTACAACACCTGACGGAGCTCAGTTCATCAGTCGGTTGCTGCGCTGTAGTGTAGGGTACACTCTGGCCCAGTGAAGAGAGACGTAAACTCTCCAAAGCTGGCAGATCATGGATGGTCTGTAGTATATCTGCCCACGTCCCGTTGTCCAGGAAGACAAGCGTGAGGTTGAGATGAGTAAGCGTACCGTGATGCGCCTTGAGGAAGTCGACTATAGCGGTATTGTCCAGATGAACGTCCTTCAGGATAAGGACTTGAAGGTGCTGCCAAACATGAACACTGCCGTGGTTATTGTCAAAACTGATGCGCCCGTCATGACCACGTAGCTTGAGTTCCTTCAGATCCGGACATGAAGCGGCAAGGTCGGAAGCCCAACCGCTGGTCACAGTAGGGACAAGTTCGACTTTGCGGACCTTGAGCGACAACCTTTCTTTCCAGAAAGGGGAGCCGAGGTCAAATAGCTCAGTCTGGATAGGCGAGTTGCTGAAGTTGTTGTACTGCGAAGCTTCTTGAACAAGAAGGTTTAGATCGAGATAAATCTTATCGCAGATATTCGCGCGGCGGATAGATTCAATCACAACCTTGAACAAGTGACTCAGAGCACTGAAGTCGCAACGAAGTTGCCCGCTAAGAAGCCACATTGGACCGCAACGGAGACCGATCGCTTTTGGAGATCGATAGTGAATGTGCACGTAGGAAAAGCTGTCTATTCGAATAGTCTCCAGGTTCTCAAAGTTGCGAAACGCTTCTGTGAGCATATCCTCAGCTGTCGACAGAGGCATTCCAACGTAAGGTATCGAAGGAGAGCCGCCGATTTCGCCACTAATCGATATAGTCTTGACGTACCGCGAGTACTTCTTGTGACGTGCAAAATGCAACAAGACGCTGAGGCTATCGAAACGCGGTAAAGCCACTAGATGCACCAAGGAACGGGTTCCGAAAGTGAATGTTGAACGATCGCTGATGCCGCGCGAGACCAGCCGGATGCTTAGTAGGGAGCCGATGTCCAAGTGGTTGCAGACGCTGCTGAATAGCTCTGAAGGTAAGTCCAGGATCCGGAAGATGCCATTCAAACTAAGCGCACCGAAAGCGACACTGAGCTCGTCCATGGTGTCGCCGCTTCAGCTGACTACACGGCTTGCGCGTCTCGATCGAGCGGGGGAAGCGCGGATGTCGAAAGTGTGTAGACGGACTTTATGGGTAACAGTTGTTGGATGCCAACTGCTCGCGCGGGTTCACCTGCTAGCGCCAAGGCTGCGCCTTTACATGTGATCAATCCATCTCAAGTCTTCCTAAACGATATCTCAACCACCTCACATATCGAAATAGCCTAGAAACGAAAAAGGGACTGATAAGAGGTAATAATAAATGTACAGACATGGAAGAAGTCTATGGTCCCAGAACCAAAAGAGACATGATTACCCAAAGTGCAACGCCGATAAATGCAGCTCCTGATATCGCAAACGGGCATGCTCCTGAACTCCAAAAGCACTGAGTGATACCCAAATCAAAAGCCAGACGTGCACATCCTGATACAGGGTCCACCTTCAATACACCTGATTGTACTCATCTCTCTGGTACATTATTCGTGCCAACATCAACCCTAAAAACATTCTAAATCTTCCTCTTCTTTGTGTGAAACATGTTGTATTCTACCCTCTTCCTCTTCGGCGCCGGATCGGCCGCTGCCTGCGCATTCGTCGGCTTCGGCTTGGGTGCGCTGAAGTGCATCCCAGGTGGTAAGGAGGTCCGCGCGGGTGGTGGCGGAGCATTACGTTGCTGCGGTGCAGGCCTCTGTGTAATGGTCGGGCGATTCGCGGATAGTGACGGCGCGGGCTGAGTGTCCTGCTTCTTGGAAACGGACGCGGAAGCTTGCTTGGACACTACCATACTTTTCGGAGCCTCATTCTCCGCCATTCGAACCATCCTCGCTGGTGCTTGCCTGACGTTGGTCTTTCGCTGAGCTAGAAGATGTGCTGGAATTTGGCTCGCTTTCGGGCGCTCGCGGCCATGGTCGAACATGCCGCGCTTCAGTTTGTCGAAAGCGGCTTTGCCCGTCTTTGAAGGTGCACCCGACGGTTGCCCCCAGCTGCTGGTAGTGCGTCCAGTGAACATCTTGCTTGCGCCGGCACCATATCCAAACCTGGTCTCGACGATCAAGGTCTTGTTCTGTCCGCGATCTTTCTGTAGCGCTTGCATCTGCTGTTTGAGGGCCTCTTTATCCGCCTCTATCTCCAGTTCTGCATCTTTCTTCAACTTGCGATAGACTTTGCTCCAGTTTCGAGGATCGCGCGGCTCATGGGGCTTCGTCTCCCAGTTCGGAATGTCTCGCTTGATAAAGCGAAGCCATATCTCGCCCGTCTCGCCGAGTAGTTGTGGGCAGTTGGCCTCGAGTTCGAGCAGCTGATCGGGGCTTTGGATGAATCGGAGGACTGGCTGGAGGAAGGAGTAGGGTAGATCGCCGACGTCGCGGAGCATATCGATATTCTTGATGAGACGCTGCCGAGCCAGCTCGAAGAGGCTTGCGACGGGCATGGTGACGGTAATGTCTATGCGGAGGATATATCCAAAAGCGTTGCGTAAGATGGTGTTGTGAGGCGGAATGCGAAGATCAAACGGGTCGGGATGTGAAGGGTTTTGGTCGTAGAGAGGTGGTTTGCTGACAGGTTCGTCGGTGTTCGTTGATAGGGTGTCGTCTATGTAATGTGAATCATGGACAGGCCGAACGAGGGCGGCGTGAACCGTAGATGGGGCTGAGGACCCCACGGGGCTCACGGCAGCATGTTGGTGGGCTAGTCCGGATCAAGAAGCTGGTTGTAAGAGTGACGCTTGCCAGAAGGATGCGAAGCGATGAACGGGAGAGTGATGACGAGAGTGAAGAGTGAGTGAAAGTGTAGAAGGCGCGGTGGACTGGCCTCTGACGTCTGATCGCAGGCGCTAGCGGACCCCTGCCAAACGCGTTGATCGATTCAACTCTTGGACCTCAACATCGCGACTTTGACGACGACGACGTACGATACCACAAACAACACCTCCCTGTTCTTCGACCATTCAGAAAACATGGCGATCAACGACTGGGGCCTGCTTTCTCAACCCGATGAGGGTAAGGCGTCTTTCACTCACTACAAAGCTCCGACTAATTCCAGCAGATGCGCTGCACAATGTAGCCCGCCTACTAGCTGTGGAAGCACGCCCATACACAAACACGGCCAGTCGCATACTCAAGCCAGACTTCTTCGAGGATGCGCGCCCCAGACAACTCCCCTCCCCGCCCCCAGATGCCTCAGGCGCAGAGGAGGATGCCGCAGCAGTCGCTGTCGAGCGCGAGCAACAAGCGCACAAGATCGAGATATGGCGGAAAGACATCATGAACGAGCTGTCACTGCTGGACTTTGCGATTGTTCGATCCGAATTCACCACGAATAGCAATCACACCGAGCGCGCGCGTTACGCCGATGAGAAGACGGCCATCGAGGCAAAGCAGGAGCACGTGCGCAAGAACATAGAGAACCTGCGCGTCAGACTGGTCGAGGCGAAAGAGACGCTGGCCGTGCGTAAGACGTACGACGAGCTCACGGAGAAGATCACCAACAGCAAGATGCTGAAGCCACGGGACGAGCAAGCACACGCACACGAGAAGCTGGACCAGGAGATAGAGGAGCTCAATTCAGAAGTCCGGTTGGCTAAGGCTACCTGGAAGGAGCGACGCACGCAGTTCGGACGAATCGAGGAAGAAGCACGCGGCATGTTGCGCATGATCAAGGACGAGAAGGAGGAGGCTGAGCGCAAGGAGGGCATGATGAAGGATGGTGACGAAGATGGCGAAGGCGAGGGCAGCACCTCCAGAGGAGACGTCAGCCATGCCGGTACACCGCGACCAGATGGTGGCATGACACCTGGGCATGCCAGCCAGAGCGGAGACGGCTCTTCGTCACTACGCGTACCACCACAAGATCGCCTGAAGCCTCTATCACGGGAAGCCAGCGCAGCGCCCTCACCTGCTAGATCTGGTGCCGCCGATGACACAGAGATGGCGGACCTTGGGGCACACTCAGGAGACGCCAACGATGGTGACTCTTCTGGGCTGGAAGAGGGCGAGGATCTTGAAGATGGGGAGGAGGATGGCGAAGATCGCACAGACACCAAGATGGACGAGTCGTGATCACATATAGATGATGGTTCTTCTGATGATTTGATTGCATAGCGCGGTGTTCAGGGTATCATTTCCATCATCTTTGTACCACTACCATACGGCGGCGATACCAACTATCTCTTCGGTAGCTACGAATCTAAGAAGCTTCACGCATGGCCGCCTTGCCCTTTTCGACAGCCTCTTTCGCCTTGGTGATTTCCTCCGGTGATGCCTGGGCGCCGCCTTCTTTGTTGTTCTCCTACAGATTGTTAGTACGGGATACCCAGCCCATAGCAGCCTGAACTTACGAGCTCCTCCTCCAGCCGCTCAACTGCCTGCTCAATCTTGGTCTTCATGCCAGGCAGGACGTTCTTGGTCTCCTGGAGTGCTTGACGCTACACCGCAGTTAGTGATCATGTTTAGTATCAGGATTGCCGAGACTCTGTACCTCTTGCTTCAGGGTGTATTCGCCGTTCTCATCTCCCTCATTGGCCTCGGCCTTCTTGATGCGCGCCTCTTGCTGCTCGATTTCCTTGTGGTAGCTGGCTTCTTCCTTGACAAGGCGGGTTACGACGCCAGTTGCGATCGCGAGTTTAGATGGAGGCGCCATGATTTAGATTGATATTGGTTACAGATCGAAGTAGTCTGTGATTGAAAGAGGTAGAAAACGAGAACTGGAGGTTTAGTTGAGCTGATTAGTGTCGCTGTTCGTCGTTGCCTGCTTGTAAACATTTGTTCACAGCGGGGCTAGCTGCCCCACTAGTAGAATTAGTCTACAGCATGGTCTGCATGTGTACACATAATGCTGTCAAATGGCACTTGATGTTTGCAGAATGACCTCAGTGGCTTTCACAGAAAGACATCTCCAGTAGCAGTCGTTTTTTGGTCTGCAATTGGACTTGCCTCTGGCATGCCAAGACCACTTACGTCCGTTTGCAGACTAGCCTAGAACGCGTCCCACGCGTCGCTGCGAAAGGAGTAGGCGCGACAAGCCCACCGTCCCTGGCAACCCCTCTGCAACATCAACACATTCACCGTTGCTGCCGCATAGAGCACCGCAACCATGTCTTCTCCCGAGAAGCGCCGCTCTCAGCGCACTTCTGCGTCGGCGACTCCACGGCGAAGCGCCCGTGGTCAGAATTCTCAGGTATCCGACAGCAGCCCAGCGCCAGTAGGTCCAGAGGAGCAGTTACAGTCCGAGGCTTCGCAGGCGTCGCAACGTGGATCGCAAGCGACTCCTCGCAATGCAAGATTCCAGACCACTTCGACACAATCCCCGCTCTTCTTCCGCTCATCGCCTGCAAACCCCTCCAATTCGGGGCCAGCGAATGGCGACGAAGAGAGTGATGGCGGTGCAACACCAAAGGCGTCTGCGATGACGATTGGGGGTATGTAGAGACTGATATGAGCTCCAGTATGCACCGCTGACAGACACAGATTCATCGCCCATCCACTACGCATCCTCCTCTAGCCCTGGTCGAGCCCGCAATGCCCAGAACGTCCCTGGGAGCAGTAGCAGCGCCCTTTTCGTGGGCGGCTCCGAATCTGCAGCCCGAAATCGACGAAGCGACATCCACTCAGACGTCTTCGGCACCAGCTCTACCAATCGCCGGCGCAGGCTCTTTGTCGACGAGAATGGCATGCCAGTGCAGGAGGCTTCGGACGCACCAACCTTCTCCAACATCAACCCTGACACATCAGATGCAGACGTCTTGGGCGGCAACTCTACACGAGTCATTTGGGGAACAAATGTGTCGCTTGTCGATGCCCGGCATGCCATGAGAGACTTCTTGATGAACTTCCGAAGGAAGTATCGCATGGTTCAGGATGGGGAGCTGGCTGAGGGCCTGAGTCTTCCGGACAGTCACCCGGCCATGGCCAGAGAATATGTCGATATCATGAAGATGATGCTGGAGCTCGGTGTCACGCCATTGAACCTGGACGCGCGCAATCTCAAGTCTTATCCGCCAACAAGGAAGCTCTGGCATCAACTGCAGGCTTATCCGAACGAAATCATCCCCATCATGGACGTGGCGATCAAGGACACCATGCTCGAACTTGCTGAGAAGCGCATGGCAGAAATGCGAACCCAGATGTCACAAGCACAGCGTGCTGCTCAACCCAGGGCTCGCGACTCGAGCTCCCTCCCGCCCATGCTGAGTTCCGATGCCCCTACACCTGGTGCTCCGTCTCCGGCTCCGTTCGCAGAAATCCCGAATCTGGTCAGTGAGGTCGACCAAAAGACGTACAATGTCAGGCCGTTTGGTCTCGATCACACGATCAACTTGCGTGAACTCAACCCTGGCGACATGGACAAGCTGGTCAGTGTCAAGGGTCTGGTGATTAGGACCACGCCTATCATCCCAGACATGAAGGATGGTAAGTCTATGATAGGGATGTCTGAAGTCTTCTGCTAACCTTGCTAGCTTTCTTCCGCTGCTCTGTCTGTAACCATACTGTCAGGGTCGACATCGACCGTGGCAAGATCACCGAGCCCACCAAGTGCCCGCGCGCCGTATGCGACTCGCCAAACTCGATGCAGATCGTGCACAACCGCTCCGGCTTCGCGAACAAGCAGGTCATCAAGCTACAAGAGACACCAGATGACATGCCGGACGGCCAAACACCTCATTCGGTGTCATTGTGTGCATACGATGAACTCGTGGATGTCTGCAAGGCCGGTGATCGCGTTGAGATCACTGGTATCTTCAAGTGCAATCAAGTTCGCATCAACCCGCGCCAGCGATCCGTAAAGAATATCTTCAAGACTTACGTCGACGCCCTTCACATCCAGAAGGTTGACAAGAAGCGAATGGGCATTGACGTATCAACAATCGAAGAGGAACTCGCAGAGCACGCAGCTGGTGATATTGAAGAAACCCGCAAGGTCTCCGAAGAGGAAGAGGAGAGGATAAAGGCTACTGGCGCTCGTCCTGACGTTTACGATCTGCTCTCTCGCTCGCTGGCGCCCAGCATTTACGAAATGGACGATGTGAAGAAGGGTATCCTGCTTCAACTTTTCGGTGGCACCAACAAGCAGTTCGAGAAGGGTGGCAGTCCGAAATACCGTGGCGACATCAACGTCCTACTGTGTGGTGACCCGTCCACAGCTAAATCTCAGATTCTACAGTACGTACACAGGATCGCACCGCGCGGTGTGTACACCTCCGGAAAGGGTTCCTCTGCAGTTGGTCTAACTGCATACGTCACCCGCGATCCCGAAACCAGACAGCTTGTGCTTGAGTCTGGCGCTTTGGTGTTGTCTGACGGCGGTGTATGCTGCATTGACGAGTTCGATAAGATGTCGGAGGCAACGCGATCCGTTCTTCACGAAGTCATGGAACAGCAGACGGTTTCCATCGCCAAAGCTGGTATCATCACCACTCTCAACGCCCGTACCTCGATTTTGGCATCTGCCAACCCTATCGGATCGAAGTACAACGTCAACCTCCCCGTTCCGCAAAACATCGATCTTCCGCCTACGCTGCTTTCGCGTTTCGATCTTGTCTACCTCGTCTTGGACCGCATCGATGAGCAGAACGATCGTCGCATGGCTCGCCATTTGGTTGGCATGTATCTTGAAGACACGCCTGAGAATGCCAACAAGAACGAGGTCATGCCTATCGAGTTCTTGACTGCCTACATCTCTTACGCGCGCTCAAACATCCACCCCAAGATCACTGAGCCCGCATCGAAGGCTCTCGTTGACGCATACGTCGCGATGCGCAGCCTCGGTGCCGACATTCGCTCGCAAGAACGAAGAATCACAGCTACTACACGTCAATTGGAATCCATGATCCGTCTCGCAGAAGCCCACGCAAAGATGCGCCTATCAGAGGAAGTCACGGCCGACGACGTTCACGAGGCTGTCCGCCTCATCAAGTCGGCGCTCAAGCAAGCAGCTACGGATGCACGCACCGGTCTGATCGACATGTCGCTCCTCACCGAAGGTACATCGACCAGCGACCGCCGCAGGAAAGAAGACCTCAAGCGTGCGGTTCTTGCCTCGCTCGACGAGCTCGGCTCTGCTGGCCAGAGTGTGCGCATGAACGACCTAGTCAAGAAGGTGCGAGAAGGCGCCAGCGAACAGGTCGAGAACCAGGAGTTCCTGGAGGTACTGCGTAGTGCCGAACTTGAAGGTGCTGTGCAGATCAGTGGTGAGGGTATGAGGAAGATGGTCAAGAGGGTCGTTGGCACTTTCTAAGTCAACTTCGAAGGCATGGCGTTTGAGGGGTTATGGGGACTGGCATACCTCATGAGATGATGATGCGATGTGGTGGATTTGGTAGTTTAGCAAGCACTTTGTTGTCGCGTTGCACTTGTTTAGACATGAGGTCGTCTTGAATAAGGCATTGTATGTTCTACTTGGCTCAGATATCTCGCTGGGAATGTGTACGTCATGTCTTTTGGCAAGTTTGTTTTAAGGAAGGTGCGACGATAGCGACTAGGTTCCTGCGTGAGTGAGGCACATTCATGGAAGCAACCCCGCACTTCTGCGTTCTGTTTCTTGCCTACCAACATGACCACACTGGCTTCTTCACCCTTTAGCGCTGTGCCATGTCGACCTCTAGCGTGAGCGCAGCGCCCGATCCATCCGAGTCAGAACAGGATATCGAGAGCCTCAACCCGTCGTTTTGTGCTAAATGCAAAAAGCTTTGCATACTGCCTGAGGATCTGGATTTTAAAGAACAGCTGCACGTTGAGTACACTTTGGAAGACATCACCGTCGCCGCAGAGCGAAAATGCCTGCTCTGTTGTCACTTCCTTACCTTCTTGCAATCGGGTGACGGTATCAAAAACATTGCTGGAGACGGTGGTTTTCATGCGTATCTCGGCTACATAACAAACCAGCCATCGTACGACGCATCGAATCTACCTGGCCTCCACTCGATCAAATTCTCAATTGATGGGTACACCGGTCTCGACGACCGTCGTTTTGGACTACAACTCAGGGTCGCAGAGTACAATCTTTCGAACGGAACGCCATTTGTGTATCAGAGACATAAACGCACTGTGCCGCGCCCGGTACGTGTCACGACAGCCTTGACTTCTTGGACTGGCGATGAAGCACATCTCCGTACCATCACAGAATGGATACGAATATGTGAAGAAACACACAGTGCTTGTCGTCAGGTAAAACTAGAAAGGACTAATACGTTCGTACCGACCAGACTCATCGATGTCTCAACCGCCTATCTACCGCGCCTTACAATCACAGCCGGACTCTCCGACAAGAAGGACCGTAGATACATCACTTTGAGTCACAGATGGCAGAACGGAGACATGCCTAAGCTTCTGACTTCGAATCTGCACGAACTCCTTGAAGCCATCCAACCAAACACATTACCAGCAGTGTTCTTAGACGCTATTGACTTGTGTCGACGACTCAGTATTCCTTTCATATGGATCGATGCACTTTGCCTTATCCAAGATGATCCCGCGGACTGTGACCACGAGATCTCGTCCATGGGCGAGATATACGCAAATGCATTTGTGCACGTGGGAGCAACGAGGGCCTCTAATATTCCTGGAACAGGACTGTATACCGGACTGGACTCAACCGGGCTGGCTCCATTCTACATAGATTTCCAATGGGGTGCCCGGAGATTCTCTCGTATCCTACACGAAGCCACTGCGGTAAAACGGGTCAATCAATCGAAGCTGATGTCGCGCGGCTGGGTTTTCCAGGAACGACTCCTAAGCCCCAAGTCTATTTACTTCGATGATCTGCTTGGCTGGGAATGTACACAACTGGTCACCACCGAGTTACACCCCGAAGGCCCACCGCCACTGACTCGTCGGCCTGTCTGGGGCGTTGATTTGCCGTTCAAAGTGCCTAGTCTTCTCGGAAGGGATACCATGGATACCAATCCAAGGACGGTTGATCATCATCTGAGATGGCTAGCTCTTGCGCAATGGTTCTCGATGTGCCAACTGACGTATGACGGAGACGCACTACCCGCCCTATCGGGGTTAGCAAGAGCGTTCCAGGCGAAGTTGCAAGATCGATACGTGGCTGGTATCTGGTACAAAGATATCGTCCGAAGTTTGCTTTGGTTAAAACCAAGATCGTTCAAAGAAATTTCAGATGGTCAATTGGACCGGCCCCAAAAAAGCCACCGAGGTTCGTCCAGCTTCGTTACTGCCCCAATCCAACAATGCAACATTGACTAACCCTAAATAATAGTACCTTCGTGGTCTTGGCTCTCATTGAAAGGACGTATTGTATTTCTGTGGACAAGAGCCATCCCAGATCATGTATCAAAACATGAACTCGCCGATGTACGTGAAGTGCGCATAGAGAATGTTCGGGATGACGACTTCGGGAGAGTATCATCCGGATATCTCCGGCTCGCATGCCATATGCGGAAAGCCACCGATAGGAATGCAAGATATGGACTTTCGCATGTCCTCGAAAGATATCTTTTTAGCCAGTGGTGCGAGCATTTTGATGACACCCGGATATCATGTGCCGGATGTTGGTTTTGTGTGCTTGAAATCCGTGGAGCCCGTCGAAAAAGCTCGGATGAGAAGGAGTTAGGATGGGAGCCGGCACATCTAGTCGGCATCATCTTGGAGCCTGTCGATCTGTCCCAGCGAATATTTCGAAGAGTCGGGCTTTTTGCGCATCCCTGGGGAGAACACAACACAAGCCAATTCAAAGAGCTGTGCCCAGAGTTTGCGGACGTTACCCGTTTGGAGGATATGGAGCAAGAAGAAGTTACGATTATTTGAGGAGCAGTGGACGTATCGCTCTGAACTGCAACGTCATTTACACCAAGTACACCAATCGCCAATCTAAACTACATTGCTCAGTGCCCTTTCGTAATTCTCCTTCCGCCAAGACTCTCGCCATTTCGCCTGCAGGCTCGTCTCCGCCCATTTCCCCGGGTCATCGATGTCAACGTACACATCAGCTTCGTCCTCCCCATCTTCGCTGTCCTGTGAAATCATTCGAATAGCAAGACGTTTCGATGGTCCCGTTTTATGCCAAATGATGGCCTCCAGAGCAAACGCGATAGGATATTCGAATTGAGTCAGCAGATTCGAAACCAGCCAATTCCTGCACTCAACCTGCTCCATGCGGATTGAGTTTTGAGATACCTGATGTATGTCGATTGAAGAACAGCCGTGAGTATAGAACTGGAATCCAAGCCCTGCGAGGTTCGGTACGTATTCTTGCAGCAACTGCACAAGACCCGTATACTCGCTATTCCATTCGTTCGGGCCGGTAAGAGTGATATGATGCAGATGATTCATGCGCTGCGGAGCATGTCTGACCAGATGGTTTAACCAGGGGTGTAGGTCCTGCGAATTGACTGACAAGACGGTGTCACGGAGGAAAAGCTCCTTGGCTTCATTGCGGATGGCCTTGTTGGATGCTATGAGGGCCCAGGGTCCTCGGGGCTCGACTGGAGAGTCGGCTTTGTAGCTGCAACGATCTTCTTCTTTGCACATGCCTGACCACTCGGGATTCGCGCATAGCAACCGCGTGTTCGGATTGGTACGGCGGCAGGGATACCACACGAAAGGCGGCGGCTTTCTGGCTTGGGACGAAGCTTCTTTCTTCGTCTTTACACGTCTGCGTACGTGGATGTGTAACAAGTCGCGTAGGTAATCGTAGATCTGAAGGCGCATTTCAGTTGGGAGGCCTTCGAACGTCGCTCGAGGGTTTCGGGGTGTCTTGAAAATGGAGGCAGGATGTACTTCCTCGATGTCTGAATTATCGCATCCTACGGTTTTCCTCTTCTTCCTCTTCTTGTTCCCTTTGTTATCTTGACGAGCCGATTCAATGGAACCCGCTCGAGACATGCTGGAACTGGCTGATGACGTGTCGTAGTAGTCATCATAATCGACAGCCTTTCGCTTTCGAGTTGCGCGCGCCATTTTAAAGTGAGAGATATTGTGAATGGTATCGAGCTTGGTCGGGATATAAGTGAGTTTCACTCACCCCTTGCATATCAACCAAATGCGTGGCTGCGGCACAGCTGGCATAGTTTCCAGGCAGCGACGCATCCACCTATCGGAACCTGCGAGTATATGCATCATATCCTACGCGATGTTACACTGCGTCTCTCTTGGGTGGGGCTGAATGTCAGCGTTGTACCTTTACCCCAAGCGATCGCAGATGGAGGTGTTTGACTTTCCAGGTGCGAGCTGAGTCAGCCATGAGCCTCGGCACGAACCATCTACAGTGGTTTGCTTCTCACAGCGTCTGCAACAGTTCGCGCTCACATTGAAACCCTACGATGCCTGACTTGCATAGTGAAAGCGCCGTGAAAGCTCGATGTACTCGAAACGATAACCCTCATTACTCCGCCAGTGCTTATCGATGACTGGATAGCTGAAAGCCCGACGAATGCCTACTTCCATAGCTTAATTCAACCATTACCCCCGACTCACACGAGACGTATCACGGGCACCATGAAGACGTCCAAGTATGCACCAAAGACGCCTGCCGAGAGTCTAGCCCAATCGAAAGCCGAGAAGCTCAAACAGGATAAAGATCGCGTAACGCGTTTGCTAGGACGCGTCCGTTGGAAAGCCGAGATGCTCATGGTGTCCTACTTTCGCACCATGGAGATCGTACAAGCAGCTGCGCAAGAGAACGAATACCACCAGTCCCAACACGCAATGGGAAGCGGCGCATCGAGTGTAAGCAGCTATCAGCCCCGTCACCCCTACCGTCGCGAGACTGACACGGCGCAGAAACAAGCCGAATCCATGTTCAAAGTCGACTTCTTCGAATTCTACACGCTGCTCGAGCGCTACATCACAGACTGCCTCGCCATCTTCGGTGTCTCCGTCTCTGCCTCTGCGCCGCGCACGAACTTCAACGCCCTACGTTACGAGACCAATCCCGATCTTCACCGAACGCGACCGATGGCTTCGCATGCCTTCCACGCGAACCTGCTAGAAGCTTTAGATGACGAGAAGAGTCCATTGGCGGGATCGCTGGGGCTACAGGACGTTCGTGTACAACTAGGCATTGCGAAGGAATACCGTAACGCGTGGAAAGATGCTGATAGCAAGGCTAACATAGCCAGCGGTGACGCGCGCGCGAATATGTCGCTGCAAGATCTGCAGCTAGAGCATATGTTGCGCAATATCATTGGTGGATGTGATCTTGCTCATGAGGCAGTGCAGCAGCAGCATTCCGGCGGTACTACGAATGGAACCTTGACCAGTCGAGACTTCGAGCCC